TATAGACAGCATTAGATACTAGTGTTGTATCACTGTTAAATGTCCTGCTTTTGAAAACTGTACAGTGACTGTGTAAGAGAATGTCCATAAACGGGGAAATACACACCAAAGAGTTCATGGCAAAGGGACCTAATGTCTGAAACTTACTCTCAAATGGTTGGGGAGGGGGAAGAATGAAAAAGCAGATTGGCAAATTGCTAACAGTTAGTGAAACTGGGTGAAGGGTATACGCATGGCTTTGTCTTATTCTTGCAACTTTTCTGTAAGTTTAAAAAGATTCCAAAAAAGAAAAAAATGATTGTAAATTAAAAGTCATGGTTTTAAGGCTCTGTGTTTTTGTGTTTGCATCTTGTGGTCAGTTTTGGGGGTTGGGAGGGTGAATTTGCTGCTTCAGACTCTGTCTTGGGGTGTGGCCAGGACCTTAGGGTGTGGTTAAGGTCTAGGGGTACGGCCTTGGATTTGGGGGGTGTGGCCAGAGCCTCAGAGGCGTGGTTGGGAGGAGGGACAGGCCATATCCTGAGGTGTGGTCAGAACCTTGAGGAGGGGCCAGATTCTCCGAGGTGTGGCCAGAGTCGGGGCACGGCCTGAGAAACTGTTCCCAAGGGAGGAGGTAAGCCTGTACTTAGAGCGCCCTCTTGCGGTTACTCTGGGGCCTTGCCTACCCTTTTTCTAAACAGCTTTATTGAGATAATGCATATATCCAACAATTTAACAATTTAAAGGGTACAATTCAAAGGTTTTAGTAACCGTTGTGTGATCAAAGAGTTGTGCGATCATCACCAAATTCAGTTTTAAAATATTTCTTCACTCCAAGCCTGGCTGGTGTGGCTCAGTGGATTGTGAACCAAAGGGTTGTTGGTTCGATTCCCAGTCAGGGCATGTGCCTGGGTTGTGGGTCAGGTCCCCAGTAGGGGGTGCCTGAGAGGCAACCACACATTGATGTTTCTCCCACTCTATTTCTCCCTCCCTTCCCCTCTCTCTAAAAATAAATAAATAAAATCTTTAAAGGAAAAAAATGTCTTCACTCCAGCCCCATTCAGCCTTAGGCAACCCCTAATATACTTTCTGTCTCTATAAATTTACCTATTTGGACATTTTACATAAATTAAATCATACAACCCTGTCCGGCTAGGTCAGGTGGTTAGAGCGTTGTCCTGATATGTCAAGGTTGTGGGTTCAATCCCAGGCCAGGACATATACAAGAATCAACCAATGAATGAATAACTGGAACAACAAATTGATGTCTCTGTCTCTGTCTGTCTCTCTCTTTCTCTCTCTCTCTCTCTCTCTCTCTCTCTCTCTTTAAAATCAATACATTTTTAAAAAATCGATGTCTCTCTCTCTCTACCCCTTCCTCTCTCTCTAAAATCAATAAATAGACCTGGCTGGTGTGGCTCAGTGAATTGAACGCCGGCCTGTGAACCAAAAGGTCGCTGGTTCGATTCCCAGTCAGGGCACATGCCTGGGTTGTGGGCCAGGTCCTCTGTTGGGTGTGTGTGAGAGGCAACTGTTTCACTCTCGCACAACAATGTTCCTCTCCCTCTGTCTCCTTCCCTTCCCCTCTATCTAAAAACAAAAACATAAAATATTTTTTAAAATAAAAAATAAAATCAATAAATAAACATGTAAAAATTTAAGAAAGAAATTGAGTCATACAATATGTGGTCATTTGTGATTGGCTTCTTTCACTTAGCATAATGTTTTTGAGGTTCATTCACATTGTAGTATAAGTATTTCATTCCTTTTTTTTTTTAATGTATTGGCAGCATGCATTTTCTTAAAAGATTTTATGTATTTATTTTTAGAGAGGGGAAAGGGAAGGAGGGAGAAAAGGATCAATGTGCGGTTGCTCTCGTGCGCCCCCTACTGGAGACCTGGCCCGCAACCCTGACTGGGAATGGAACCAGTGATCTTTTGGCTCGCAGGCCAGCACTCAAGCCACAGCAGTCAGGCCAATAATTCATTCCTTTTAGTGGATGAATTATAATGGATAGCATTCCATTGTATGGGTATACTGCTTATCCATTTATCAGTTGATGAACATTTAGGTGTTTTCATGAATCTTTGTGTGGGTATGTGTTTTCTATTCTCTAGGATATATACACATAGGAGTGGAATGGGTGGGTCATAGAATAACTCTATGTTTAACCTTTTGAGCAACTGCCAGACTGTTTTCCAAAGCAGCTGCACCACTTCACATGCCCATCAGAAGCGTATTAGGGTTTTAGCTTCTCCACAGCCTCTCCAGTACTTATTATCGTCATTTTTTACTGTAGCCATCCTAGTGGGTGTGCCATGGGATCTCACTGTGGTTTGGATTTGCATTTCCCTAACTGATAATGATGCTGACTGTCTTTTTCTATCATCCACTTCTTTTGTATCCACTATGCAACCATATAAACTCTTAACCATTTTTGCCATATTTGATCCAGACTTTTTAATTACAGCATTAACGATGTTGTTGAAGTACCAGAGTATCTTTCTCAGAGTCCATCCTTTTCCTTCTCCATATCCTGCATTTAATGCTCAGCCTTACCACACACATTTTCATACAATTATCACACACATAAGTATTCCCACATAATATAGAGCATTGGTTTTCCAGGTTTTCAAACTTGGTATGACAGTGCTGTGTTAATTCTTCTGCACTTGCTTTTTTTTCCTTTTTTTTTAATCCTCACTTAAGAAATTTTTTTTTATCCTCACCTGAGGATATATTTTTTTCCTTGCTTTTAGAGAGGAAGGGAGAAGAGAGAAACATTGATGTGAGAGAAACATCAATTGGTTGACTCCCATATGCGTCTGAACTGGGGATAGAACCCACAACCTAGGTATGTGCCCTCACCGGGAATCGAACCCTCAACCTTTTGGTTACAGGATGACGCTCTAACAACTGAGCCACCTGGCCAGGGCTGCACTTGCTTTTTTAAAATTAATTGTATCAGTTTCCTAGGGTTGCTGTAACAAAGGACCACAAACTGACTGACTTAAACAAGAGAAATTTGTGCTCTCACAATTCTGGAGACTAGGAACCCAAAATCAAGGTGTGGGCAAGGCTTTGCTCCCTCTGAAGGCTCCAGGGGAGGCACCTTCCTCGCTTCTTTTTTAGCTTCTGGTGTTTACCAGCAATCGTCGGCATTCCGTGACTTATAAATGCATCACTCCAGCCTTTGCCTTCCCCATCACACGGCTTTCTCCCGGTGAGTGTGCCTGGGTCTGTATCCAAATTTCCAGTCATGTTGGACTTAGGGCCCACCCTAATTCAGCATGACCTCATCTAAACTTGGTGACACCTGCAAAAACCCTTTCTAAAAAAGGTTACATTCACAGGTTCCAGAGGATATAAATAGGGGTGGGGCTGGGGCACTATTCAACCAGTACATTCATCATTACATGTTTATGATTCATGGTATTGGTATGTGTGTCCAGTTCATTCATTTGAAGTGCTGTGTGGGAGTCCTTTGTGAGAGTATACCACAATTTATTCATTCCTTCTCCGGGTGATGGACATCTACCTTGTTTCCAGTTTTCTCCGGTTCCCACAAGGCTGCAACTAACATCCTGGAACATGTCTCTTGGAGTTTTTTAGGTCAATATTTTTTCAACTTGCCCAACAAGATCCATTAGTGGGTTGTGAAATCAATTTAGTGGGTTGCAAACAATTTCTCCTTTAATAAAACGGAATTAAAAAGAAGATATTAGAGCACACGTGTACATAGCCGAGGTAAGTATTACCCTGGGTGCACAACGTCCTGATGGGAGGGAAAGTATTTACAGGCCAAGGCTCTGAAGGGTGCAGAGGGCCATGGATAGGCCCGGTTAAAGGTCTGATGAATCCTACCAAATTGGTCTCCAACATAATTTGTCCATTTACACTTCCATCAGCTCTTCGTCAGTACTTGACACAGTTAAAAATTTAAATTTTAGCCGGCTAATGGGTTTTCATCCCATTTTCTGGAGGAGGAAACTGAGGTCGACTCAGAGAGGACAGCAAGGCAAGGGGCCAAGAAGCCGATCCCGCCGTCCTGCGTACAAAGGCCCAGTCTCCGCCTAGTGTGAGGGGCAACGTGGAAGATTCCACGAGTTAATGATTCTCAGGTTCTAAGAGATGGGGTTGGGGGCTAAGGAGGCAGGTAAGGTGCGGTGGGAGGTTCAGCTCTTATCCTAAACTATTATTCTCTGATTCGAAATTCTCTAAGTAGGCGTGTGTCGATCAGAACTGGTCCTGGGTGCCCAGGGGCGTGGCCTGGTGCGGTGGGCGGAGGGCAGGCCCGGCCCACAGCGCCCCCGGTGGCCGCTCAGCGCTCAGCCGGGGCTGGGCACCTGCAGCAAGCAGGGCAGGTTCTCGAGAAAACCACGCGCCTCCAGCCTGATTTTCCCGCAGGCTCCTAGGGACCCAGGAATTAAGTTGCCAAATTCTTGCTCCCTCAGATACGCTCCACCCAACCCCTGCTCCTAAGGGACTCAGGGGTCTGGTCGCGCTGTGTCTTCCTTCTCCGATGCAAAAGGATCGCACTGTCCCCCTGAGCTTTCCTCCTAGAAAGTTCAGCTCTCTGACCTTTAATCCCATTCCGCGACCTACGATCCAAACCTTCCCCGCAGAGTCCCGATAGGACCAGCTCTTCCCCGGCCCTCAGCAAAAGTCCTAGGTCTCCCCTCAGCCCGGCCTCCACATCAACCAGCCCTCAGCCCCCCTACCGGGCCCCAGGCATCTTACCTGCAATCCCTCCCACCCAGGAATCACCTCCTGTCTCCACCCACCGAAGCCTCCCTATCCGGCTGTCCTTTGGGAATCAAACTCTCGAACCCCATCTCTGGGGAATGCAGGTGCCAGGGCCCCAGACCCCGCCCCCTTTGGAGACCCAAGTACCTGCTGCCTCCTCCCCGGTTCTCCAGGGCCCGCCCTCACCTCCGTCGCCGAGTCCCGCCCCCAAGCTTACCTGAGTCGGGCCGCGCCTTTCACCGCCGCACCCGTTCCTCGTCCGGCACCGGAGGGACCCATGGCTGCGGCGGCGGCCCCACGCGGGTGGCAGAGTGGAGAGCCCCGCTCGCTTGGCCGGGCGGTGAGGCTGCTGCAGCGTCTGCAGGAGCAATGCGGGGACCCCCGACTCTCCTCGAGTCCCCCCTCGCTAAGGGACCTGCTGCCCAGCACCGTACAGCTGCTGCGAGAGGTGGCCCACGCCCGGCGGGCGGCCGGTGGAGGCGGCCACGAGGGTCCCGGGGGTGCCAGGGACTTTCTCGCCATCTACCTCGCCAACCTAGAGGCCAAGAGCAGGCAGGTGGCGGAACTCCTGCCACCCCGGAGCCAAAAGAGTGCCAACGACGAGCTCTTCCGGGAGGGCTCCATTCTCAGGTGAGTGGAAGCCCTAGCCCTCCCGCACGAAGATGGGATCACCAGGGAGGCCCAGGTCAGTCTCCCACCCTTATCCGTCAGACCCAGGAGTCCACGCCCGCAGCCCCTCCTCCCTCGGACCCGGGAGTCCACGCCCCCAGCCCCTCCTCCCTCGGACTCGAGAGTCCAGGCACATATCTAGCTAGGTTTTGGGTTCAATCCCGAGGCAACTGATATTTCTCTTTCACATCGATGTTTCTCTCTCTAAAATCAATGAAAATATCCTCAGGTGAGGATATTTTAAAGAATGAATTTTTTAAAAAGAAGAACTAATAATGATTGTGCACTGAGTGCTGACTGTATACTGGGTGTGCTAGGCATTTTATGTGCTTGTAAGAATCCTCATCACTCCCATCCCTGTGAGGCAGGAGCTGTACTTATGCCCATTTCACAGTTGGAGAAACTGAGGCTTAGGGAGGCTATAAAGGAACTTGCCAAAACTCACACAGCTAAGTATAAGAGGTACCCTCTGCTACTGCCCACATCCTGATCACACAGGCCGCCAGCCAGTGCGGCTCGAACAAAGAGGAGGGCTGGGAGCCAGACCTGCGTGCAGGCCACCCTAAATGCTCTCCGCTCTAGGGGTCCCCCTGACCAAGTAGGTCAGGCTTCTCCTCTGGCCCCTGCAGGCTTCAGGCGGAGCCTGGGCCTGTGTGCTGGAGGAGAGGATATTGGGCTGCACCTCCTTTCCTTCACAGACGAAGAAACGAAGGTGGGAGGCGGCAGGGCTGCAGCCGGCAGTGTTAAAATCGGCTTTACACTGCCCAGCTCCATCAGAGAGCCTCAGGCCTCTGGTGTTCGCTGCAGAGGGTGGAGGTGTCAGGGGGAGCCCCAGCGTCCAGCCAAGTGCTCAGAGCCCATCCCCACAGGCGGCAGCTGGCCAAGCTGGCCCTTGTCTTCAGCCACATGTATTCGGAGCTGAGTGCACTCTTCCCGGGGGGAAAGTACTGTGGACACACGTACCAGCTCACCGAGACCGCAGCCCACATCTTCTGGAGGGAGCGCTGTGGAGCCCAGTGAGTGAGCACCTGTTCATGGGGCCCCTGGAGCCTTATCCTATCCCGGCCCAGGGACCCAGGAGTCCTGGTCCCCAGCCCCTCAGCCCCCTCCTCTCTCAGATCCAGGAGCCCAGGCCCCCAGATACCTCCTTCCTACATAGAGATCCTCCATCCTAGGCTCCCAGAGGCCTCACCTGCACCTCCCCCCCCCACCACTGTCCACCCAGGTGTGTGCTGCCCTGGGCTGAGTTTGAATCTCTCCTGAGCACCTGCCACCCCGTGGAATCAGGCCTCACAACCTTCGCCTTGCGCTCCACCATCGACCTCACCTGCAGTGGCCACGTGTCCATCTTCGAATTTGACATCTTCACCAGACTCTTCCAGGTCAGGGACAGTCAAGGCTGGGAGTTCGGACTTGGGTCCTATGGGAAGAGGGGGCGGGGGCGGGGGCCGGACTCCTGGGTCCCAGGGAGTAAGGGTCTGGAGTCTTTTGCGTAAAAGATTCCTGAAGCCCACTGTGGTGTGAGCAAGGCGGCTGGGTTCTCGCACCCTGTGAAGCACTAGGAAAGGGCGCTGCTCCGTCGGCCCCTCCCTGACCCAAGCGTCACTCTCCCCAGCCATGGCCAACGCTCCTCAAGAACTGGCAGCTGCTGGCAGTCAACCACCCGGGCTACATGGCCTTCCTCACGTATGAGGATGTCCAAGCACGTCTGCAGGCCTGCAGGAACAAGCCAGGCAGGTAAGGGGCAGGCCTCAGGAGGAGGCCGCTCAGGGTCCCGGGCTCTGGGTTCTGGGCTTGGGGTGGTAGAAACCCAGACATCCTTCAGAGAGAGCAAGAACTGAAGGGTTGAGGTACCTGGGATCCCAGAGAGTGGGGAACTCAGAGGTGGGATACTGAGTGCCCCTGCCCCCTTCCGAGACCTCTCAGACCTTTCCATGGTCTGGCAGGTAAAGGGACAATACCTGCTCTGGCAGGGGCCTGAAGACCTTGTCCCAGGATGAGTTCCATTTCCAATAGGTCAGAGACCATGCTGTACCATTTATTTAAAAAATTATTATAAATGTGCTCTTCCTCTCTTCTTTCTTTCTTTCTTTCTTTCTTTCTTTCTTTCTTTCTTTCTTTCTTTCTTTCTTTCTTTCTTTCTTTCTCTTTCTTTTCTTTCTTTCCTAATCCTCACCTGAGTGTATGCTTATTGATTTTCAGAGAGAGGAAGGGAGAGAGAGAGAGAAACATCAACATCCGACAGAAACAGCGATCAGTTGCCTCCTTGACATGCCCCAACCGGGGAGCCAACCCAAAACCTAAGCATGTGCCCTGACCAGCGATTGAACCCACAACATTTTGGTGTATGGGGACAATGCTCAACCAACTGAGCCACCCAGCCAAGGGATATTAAATATTTCTAGTAGGAATTCCCTCATCTTCTGGGGGGTAGGAGACTGGGAAGCAGACACCTGAAATTATTTCAAGCCAGGAGCTTTGAGCTGTTGGGTCCCCAGAGGGTTAAAAATTGAGGGGCTGAGCTGTCTGGAACACCAAGAGGTCAGATTTGTAAGTCTTTGCAGGGCTAGAGTGCAAGACCCCCAGGACAGCAAGTATATTAACACTTTTCTGGTTACACTGCAAACTAGTTTAAAGGGAAAGAAAAAAGGATGAACTGATTTCCGTAAGTGAAAAGACCACGTGTCTTTTCAGGCCTCAGGCAGAGCCGGATCCAGTTGCTCACATGCTGTTGTCAAGAATCGGATCCAGCCCTGGCTGGTGGAGCTCAGTGGATTGAGTGCCAGCCCGTGACCCTTCGATTCCCAGTCAGGGCACGTGCCTGGGTTGTGGGTTCAGTCCCCAGAGAGAATACCAGAGGCAACGGATTGATGTTGTTTCTCTTGCATCAATGTATCTCTCCTCTTTCTTCCTCTCCTCCCCTCTCTCTGGAATCAGTAAAAGGAAAAAAAAAAAAAAAACATTAACTAAAAAAAAAACAAAGTCCCAGCGCTAACTCCCATCACTATGGTCAGGGTTTCTGAAATGCACTGATTGGCCAAGCCACAATCAACCTTGTCTAAACCCTAGTGAAGGAGGAAGGGGAGCCAAGCAGGTAATCTATAAGTCAGGCAGAGAGGAATGTAATGGCTCATTGTCTAAAACGTGGGAAGCTTCGTTATAAGGGGTGAGGACTTAAGCATCTGGATCCCCAACAGTGTGAGGGGCTGGAAGGTCCCAGAAGAGACAGTGGTGACCACTCTGTCCCCTCCTCCTACCTGCCTCTCCCACCAGCTACATCTTCCGACCGAGCTGCACTCGCCTGGGACAGTGGGCCATCGGATACGTAACCTCAGATGGCAGCATCCTGCAGACCATCCCTCAAAACAAACCCTTGTTCCAGGCGCTCCTGGAAGGACAAAAGGGAGGCTTGTGAGTCCTCATCCTGGAGAGGGGCTGGGACGCCGGCGGAGGCGGGGCGAGGAGGGGTGGGGAGGCCTCGCGGGGTTGTCCTCCGACTGCACCTCGCTTCGCACAGCAGGCATCATAAACTTGCAATACCACAATGTTCCAGCAGGTGGCAGGCGAGAGTCTTGAGGAACAGGTGCCTTTCCTAGTTCCCACAAAGCTCCCATACCAGCCAGCAGCAGCTCTCACAGAGAAGCGTGTGGGGAGTTGAGCACAACACGCGTGTGGCTCCATTCCTTGAAATTTCACTCAGAGCTTTTGCTTCTAGATAATCCATATCCCGTTCTGGCATCCAAACTGTTAGAGCAGGCAGAGAACTGGGCAAACTGCTGGATTGGTGGTTTTCCTTCTATAACCTTGGCTGCCCCAGGGCCTCTCCTTCAGAAGCTGTCTTGGGTAGGAGGGAGGAAGGAAAAGGCAGGTGAGGTTCCCTGGACCTTTAATCAGAGCCTTCTTAGCAGTCACATCTGTGTGATACTATAGAGATACATAGATATGAAGTTGATTCTCGTTATTTACTATAGTTCTGTTCCACAAAATCACATTAAACAGTAAGTTATTGAATACTGAGCTGTTCCTGCAAAACTGGTCACATTTTTGCCAGCCAGTCACTACATAATAACCTTTATGTGTGTTTCTGTTTAAAGAGAACTTACGTAGCCCTGTGTGGCTCATTTGGTTAGATTGTTGCCCGGTAACCAAATAAACGGTGTGGGTTTGACTCCTGGTCAGAACATATGCCTGGGTTGCAGGTCCCATCCCCAGTCCTGGCTGGTGCAATCCTGTCTGGGTGCCCATGGGAGGCAACCGATTGATGCTTCTCTCTCACATCGATGTTTCCCTTTCTCCTTTCCTCTGTCTCTAAAAAGCAAGGAAAATATGACATCAGGTGAAGATAAAAAAAATAAAGACATCTTATGTAATATATATGTTTTTGTTTTAAGAATTACAGGTAGAGCGAAGCTCTCTCTCTCTCTCCCTCTCTCTTTTAAGATTTTATTTATTTACTTTTAGAGAGGGGAAGGGAGGGAGAAAAAGAGGGAGAGAAATATCAATGTGTGGTTGCCTCTCAAGCACTCCCTACTGGGGACCTGGCCTGCAACCCAGGCATGTGCCTTTATTGGGAATTGAACCGGCGACCCTTTGGTTCGCTGTCCGGTGCTCAATCCACTGAGCCACACCAGCCAGCATATATATTGTTGATTCATTAACACTGAGCACACAGCCAACTATAAACTATGCCTGGGGGCATTTTAAACAGCAATATTACACACACACAAAAAGCACAGAAATGTGAGAAAATGACACTAAATAGCAAAAAGGACCCTGGTTTACAGTATGAGAGTTGAAACCCAGTGGCCGAGCGCTGCCTCGTTTAGCCTCGCGTGGGCCTCGCGTCGCCTGTTGGGTGACTCAAACTTTTTGCCCCTGTGTGCATGTCCATGAACACTCACAAAAGTGCCACAGGTATTGATTTGGGGGTTACACATTTTAGCGTGTAGCCAAATTTGCAAATACGGAATCCATGAATGATAAAGATCTATTGCGTGTGTGTATATGTATACATATATATATACATATCTGCATATATTATTATATCTCTATTTGACAACTGAGGAAGCTGAGGCACAGAGACATAGGGCCACTTGCCCAGGTCACTCAGCTACTGAGCTGACGAGCTGGGATTTGAAACCAGTCGACCAGGCTCAAAATAGGGGCCCTTATCCACTCTCATGTCTTGAGTTCCAGGCCAGGTCTCACTGGAGAAGAGCGTTGCAGGGTTAAAATAAGTGTGAACACCATCGATCTGGTTTGAGCCCCCACCACACACACACACACACACACACACACACACACACACACACACACACACACGATCACCGCTCCCATTTCACTGATGGGAAAATCAAAGCCCCAAGAAAGGGGAAGCGATACCAGCCCTTTCCACCTCGCAGTGAGGCAACTTTCCAGGTCTGATGTTGTTCACAGCAGTTCCCGCTCCCTGGGAGTTTATGTGCGGGGGAGGGGGAATCCCGACTGTTGCACAAGCATTGTCTTATTTAATCCTTACCACCCATCTTTGCCCTAACGTGATTATGTCCACTTTACAGAAGGGAAAACTGAGGCCAGAAAGGGAGAGTTGCGCAGCCCAGGTCACATGGTGTGTTTGTGGGAGAGCTGCGTGGAGGCCCAGGCCGGGCAGAGCCGCCAACAGGCTTTAGGGGATTTGTGACTCCGCTGTGGGTCTGAAGGTGCAGCTCTGACGGGCGGGAGAAAACAAACGGTGCTGAGCCTTCTTCCCGGCTGCCCTGGAGCCCGGGGCCCGGACCTTCCCGCAGCCCTGGCCTGTGTCCCTTGGCCTCATGGTGTGGCCTTGGGCAGTCACCTCTCCCCTGCTGGGCCTCGGTCACCAGCTATGAAGCAAGAAGTAGCTTAACTGTCTAGGAAGGTCCCTGTAGCCCTGCTAGTCTGAGACTCTAGGACTTGGTGACTCCAGGAATCTGTGACTCTGAGATGCTGTTACGTTCAGGCTTGAAGACTCTAGGTCAGGTGACATTCTGGGAGGACGAGGCCTGGATTTTGATCAGTTTCCTGGTTCTCATTCATCTGGTCCATGTCCCCAGACCTTGACTCACTGAGGTTATGAGTGCCCGTCTATGGGGGGGCTGAAGGGACAGGGCCCTGCCCTAGAGAGGCAGCGTAAGAAGAGAGGAAGAAAAATACTCCAGGCCAGCAAGAGATTTGGGGCTCCTGCTCTGGGCCCCATGGCAGGGGCAGGGGGGTCCCTGTGAGGCCGGGGGGAGGGGTGGCGGGACAGGCTGGAGGGCCCTGCCATAGCCCTCTCTTCCTTTCCCCAGCTACCTCTACCCAGATGGGAAGAACCACAACCCAGACCTGACTGAACTCTGCCACATGGAGCCCCATCAGCACATCCAAGTGTCAGAGGTGAAGCCCAGGCCTGTGTCCCCACCTCCCGCAGCTCCGGCCCTGCTTGCTGGCCACCCCACCCACTCACCCTGGGCTCAGGAATCTCTCCCATGGAGTCAGGCCCTGGAATCCCAGAGGCCTTGGGGTTCTGTGCTGGCGTGAGGGCCACGTGACCTAAGGTACATCACTGGGCCTCCCAGAGCCTCTCGTCCTTCCCTGGAAAACACATCTCCTCCTGCCGCCTCCCCAGGGGTTTTTGTGGGCACTAAAGCCGGAAATGACACTTCTGAGATCATCAGAACAGCTAATGCATTGAACACTCACGGCCCCTGTGCCTTAGCCTTCGCAGTCACCCCATGGGTGGAAGAGAAACAACAAATCATTTTCTTTTAAGTGCAAGTATATCCCACACTATATTTGGGGCATACTTATACAAACTTTATTCTTCATATATCTGAAAATCAAATGGAACAGGGCATCCCGTATTTCTAGTTGCTAACTCTGGCCACCCTACTAGCAGACCACCCCGGAGAGCACATCTCGTAACACGGGATACATGCAAGAGGCAGCAGACACGCGGCCTGGAACTCGGGGGAGGGTTGGGGGGCCGGCGCAGAGGTTTGGGACTTTCTCCCTGCGGCCCCACCTGCATCCCCTGGCTGAGGTCGCCGCCCTTGCCACCTCCCCATCTTCTGGCCTCCAGGAGCAGCTGCAGCTGTACTGGGCCATGGACTCCACGTTCGAGCTCTGTAAGATCTGCGCCGAGAGCAACAAGGACGTGAAGATCAAGCCGTGCGGGCACCTGCTGTGCAGCCGCTGCCTGGCCTCCTGGCAGGTGGGTCTCCCCTGTCCCCGGGGAAAGCTGCTAAAGGACCTCCCTTTGCCACGAGGATCAGGTGGGAGAACGGGCCCAGCGAGCACAGAGACTTGCTCGGGGTCACTCAGGAGCGAGGGCCCAGGAGCCTGCCTGTCCGCGTCTGTGAGCCTGTCCCCATCTCGCTCTGCGTCTATCACCTCTGCTTCTCCTTCCCCACCTTCCTGATTCATGGGAAGAGCTCCTTCCTTCCCTGGCTGGCTGATCCGGGGCTCGTGGCTTCACCTCTCTGAGCCTTAGTCTCTGTCTCTGGAGAGTGGAGCTGATGAGAGTAACCTCCCAAGGGCCACAGTGAGGGTCCAAACCCTGAAGCCCCCAGGCAAGACCCCTGGGGGAAGGGGGCTGTGTAGGTGCTCGAGGCAAGCTTTCTGATGGGAATGTAACCGCCTGCAATTCAGCTTTTGATTGCTGAGTCATCTATTTCAAAGACATCCCTGTCCAATAAGCAAATGAGGAGATGTATGACGCAGCTACTAGCAAACCAAGTAGATAAGGAGCCAGGCTGGCCCCACCCGTGACGGTCCCCTTTAGAAAGACCTGGGTAATCTACTTAGGTGACCCATGCTTTTCCCTTTCTATACCCTAATTCCCACTCCTGTGCTCTAAACTCGCCAATAAAAGGCAACCCATGGACCCCTAAGGGCCCCACTCCACCTCTAATGAAGGCAGCGTCACCACCAACCAGTGTGGCTCAGTGGGTTGGGATGTCGGCCGGTAAACCGAGAAGATCTCAGGCCGGATTCCTGGCCGGGGCGCATAGGAAAGGCAACCGATCAATGCTTCTCTCTTTCTCTCTCCCCTCCTCACTGCCCCTGCCCTTCCCCTCTCTCTCACATCAATAAGCATGTCCTCGGGTGTGGATCAAAAGAACATAAATAAAAAATGAATGAATAAATAACTGAATTTTTCTTTTTAATAAAAGGCCGAGCTCCCAGGGCCATGCACCTTCCTCCCTCCCCGCCCTCCGGCCTCTCTCTACCTGCGACCTCTCTGTGTGGCCCTGGGGCATGCCAGATACCCTCCCGGATCTGAGTAATAAATCTCATTCTTCCGAGTTTCCTGGTGGTTTTTGCTGACGTGCATCCTGCAACCATAATAAGAACTGCCAGGGCCAGTCCAGCTGCAGCGCTGGCCCAGGTGTTGGTAGAAGAATGGCGGGGGGTGGGGGGCCCTAGGCAAGTGCCTCAGGCCTTTCTCACCCCAGAGCATCACTGTCACTGGCTGGGGTCCACTTCCTGACTCCACTGGGTTCCCCATTTGTGTGCACCCCTGGCCTCAGGCTCTGGTCCAGTTCCCCCTTCTAGGCCTGCACCTCTCCCCCTACCTCCCTCTCTCCCCGACTCCTCCTCTCTCCCTCTCCCTTGGCCTCCCTGCCTGTCCTCCCTGCATCGCTCTGCTGCAGAAGAAGGCCTGTGGAGTCCCGGGGGTGCTGGAAAAACCTGGGAGACCCTGACTCTTCCCTCTTCCACCCCCAGCACTTGGACAGCCAGACCTGTCCCTTCTGCCGCTGCAAGATCGAGGGCCAAGAGGTCGTGAGTATCCATCAATTCCAAGAGAGGCCAGCAGAAGCCAGACCCACTGCTGAGGACCCAGGGAAGAGCAATGATCAGGGCAATGAAGAGGAAGAAGGGGGGCAGGTAAGCAGGGCCAGACAGGAGCTAGAACTAAAATTCCAGAGTCTAAGAGGGGAGGGGGCTGGGGGCGTAGACTCCTGGGCCTGAGGAAGGAGTGCCTGGGGGCGTGGACTCCTGGGTCTGAGGGAGGAGGGGGCTGGTGAGAGGATTTGGGGGTCCTACGGGCCCGGACTTTTGCTTCCCCAAGGGTCTGGGGCCATGGCTGTCTCTAGTCTGAACCCTCCTGAGGGCTAGGACTCTCTCTTATTCTCCATCGTACCTCCAACGTCTAGAACAGCGGATGCTGGGACACCAGGCAAGAAGCCGGGTGGGTGAGAAGAACAGGGCAGCGCACAACCCTCTCCTCACCCACTGTCTCTCCCAGGTGACCCCCTCAGCTCCCCCACTGCTCCCTCACCTGGATGTGTCCCCTGAGCATCCCAGAAGCAAAGGCCAGCTGAAGGTGGTGAGTCAGGGGCTGGTCTGAGGTGGGCAGCTGGGTCTGGTTCAACCACAGGGTCCCTGGTCTAGCTGGGTGCTCGGGGGCGCCTGGCCAGCCACCCATTATCTGTGCCCATTGACAGGGTGCTGTGTCGTCTGGCACCCACACCTCTAAGTCCTCGTCTCTTGTGCCTTCCTTTACTGATTCCTCTTCCAGCATCCCAGACATGTCCTGCCCCAGGGCCTTTGCACAAGTTGTTCTCTCTGCCTGGATCTCCTTTGTCCAGGCTCACTTTCTCATCCCCTTCTCATGGAGATCTTCCATGACTCCCCTAAAATAGTGCCCCAATTCTTCCAAGCCCCTGCCTGCTGCATTTTCATAGTTCTTTTCACCCCTTGGCAAAGAGAACCATTTCTGGTGTTTTCTGTAACCATCAGCAGCTTCTCACCCTCCTGAAGGTCAGGACTTTGTCATATTCTCGTTATATCACCAGAATCTAGAATAGTGCCTAACACATAGTAGGTGCGCATACAAATATTTGAATGAGTAAGTTGAACTGCGTCTTCTCAGCAACCCTATGAAGTCGCAAATGTTCCTCATTTTTCAGAGGCAAAAAGCCCAGAGATGACTGCAGCTGCCCCACCCCACACGGCCTAAAAGAGGAGAAGCCAGTGTTAGGGGCCTTAAAGCCATCTGCTTATTTTCTAGGGGAGCCCCAGCCTTGCTTTCTTCTCCCCGCATCCCTCACCTCCCACCCCAGGACTTTCTGAGGCCCAGGACTTTCTGAGGCCCTGGCACACTGGGAAGGGGCAGATCTCTGTTAGCATCTCAGACCCGAGTACACACAAGTATCAATCAATACGGGCTGCCTTCAAACGAACAACTCAGGAAGTCCGGGAACATTATTCGAACACAGCAAACAAGAGAGCCAGCAGGAAGACGGGGGGGAGGGGAGGGCATGCTGACACCAGCCAGGGAAGCTAAAAACAGATCCCAACCTGCAGCCAAAAGCAAATGGAAACATTAGGAGGCACTCAGCCGGCTCCCTGAGGACAGCGAGGGGGCACAGCCGGCTCGGCAACCGGAGCAGCAGCGCGGGTCGCAGGCCGCCCCTCTGCCGAGGCTGCGCCTCTCTCCGGGCCTGCCCTTTCCTCCTTGCCCCAAACCCTGCCTGAGTCCAAGTCCAAGCAAGTGCTACTCCTTCACCCTTCAGAGCGCTGCCGGGGAGGCAGCCCTGGCGGTTTCCCCACAAGGTGACTGTCATAATGAGAATAGTTACTGTGCGTGTGTCACTTTGCCTGAAGGATTGCTGGCACTGCTTTGTTAAAAAACAAAACAAAACGAAACTTTTTTTTAAGTGTGGTGAACGTACAGTGTTAGTTTCAACTGTACCACGGTGATTGGACACTTACGTAGCTTACGGTGCGGTGACCGCACTAAGTCTAACCACCTGTCACCGCGCAGTTATCACAGTGTTATTGACTGTACTCCCTGGGCTGTACTGCTTTTGAATGTACTCGTTTAATTGTTGTGACAACCCAATGAGGCGGGTACCGTTATGATCCCTATGATACAGAGGGGCACCCGGAGGCTCAGTGGTGACCCGGTGATGGGCAGGACTGAAGCCAAGGTCCCTGGCCCCACGTTCCAGAGCCCATCCTGCACTCCTTCTGGGGGCCTTGACTTCCCGCCGTGCGGGGCTGCTGCGGGCGCCGGGCGAGTGGAGCTGTGTTCATGGTCAGCGTCACTGTGGCCTTGCTGTGTATGAGCAAGAGCTGAGCTGTTCGCCACCTGAGGAACCACCTCTAAGGGGCGCCACCATCCTCCCGCCGAACCCTGGCACCTGGCTGACCACTGGGAACCTCACCCATCCTCAGTGCCTCCAGTGTGTAAAATGGGGACAGGCCTGGCATGGGCACCCCAAGTTTTAATGGAGTCAGATCCCGCACCCCCACCCTGAACTCTCAAAGGCTCCCCAGGGCTCCAAGAACTAAAGCCAACATCTTCTCCACGGCCCTTGAGACCTGAGGATCTGACCCCTCCCCCATCTCTCCAATGACTTACACCCCCCCCCACCCCCATTCCTTCCCAGCAACAACCAGCCCCTGCTGTCCTTACTGGGCCAGCAGGCCCCCCCTCCCCCGGGCCGCGGAGGGCCTCTCCCCACATCCTTCTTGCACTCGGACTTCTGCTCGTTGCCCCTCCTCCAGGAAGCCTTCCCCAGCCACCTGCATGTCCGGCCTCCCCACATGCATTCTCTCCCTGCCCATTTCAGTTCTCTAAGGGACTCCTAACTCTCAGGGCCATTTCCTCATTCAGGCGCTGATTACTCATGGTGCGCCTCTTGCTCAATAGACTGTCAGCTCCATGAGGAGAAAGCTTTTTGTCTGTCTGGTTCGTAGCTGTCTCTTCAGAGCCCAGAACAGTGCCCAACACACTGTAGATGCTCAGCAAACATTTTTTGGGATGAACGAATGTGGTGGAGGCATGGACGGGTGATGGATGGATGGTCGGATATCTGGAGAGATGGATGGACAAACAAATTAAGACTTCTTCCTACTCAAGCCAGAGGTGTTGGGGGGAAACAGCACACACTGGGAGCAAGAGCCTATCGTACCGCTCCCCTGCCGCCGCTGCGCTATCCCCTCCGGCCTGGGAAATGAAGCACAGCTGCATCTCAGCTGTAAAATTTCTTAATCTCCTCTCCTCCAGGCGCCTCCAGCCGTGCCCAAACTTCGGGCCCCTCTTATTTTGCCAAAAATTAGGACTGTGGGCTTGGTCCCATGGGAAATCACCTCCAGGCCGCGGTCCAGGGAGGGAGCCGCAGAGTAAGTGGTGAGGGCAACCGGGGCCGGGACTCCTGGGTCTGAGGGAAGAGGGTGTGGGGGCAGACGGGAAACACTGGTCCTAGGAAATCGACAGCCCCCCTCAAACTCTCCCCTTTGCAGAAACTCCTAAAGGGAAAGTCACCCTCCAGCTGCCCTGGAGGGTCCACGGTCACTGCCCCGGCCTGAGGCCAGGTGAGTGCCCCGCCCCGCCCGGGTCCCCTCCCTTGGTCCTGCCCACCCCAGCCCACCTGAATGTGATATTATTTAAACCACCTCTCTTTCCACTTCACAGGGCACCAAGATGTGCTGCTTAAGGGAGTCCCAGGGGCTGGAAGGGGTTTGTGAAGCAGAAATAAACGGCCAAGCCTGGTCTGACCTCCTGGGTGTGGAGAAAGCATGCAGCAGCCACTAGGGGGCAGCTTGGCACTGGGAACTTGCGGTGCCCGCGCCCTGTGCCGCACCTGATTAACCCCAGGGTCTAAGATCAGAGAGCTAGGAATGGGGGACCCAGCTCCTCTGGATCCAGCAGTCCAGGCCCCCAGCCCATTCTCTCTCAGACTCAGGAGTCCAGAGTCCCAGGTTCTCAGAGAATCAAGCAGCCAGCACCCTTCCCCCAGCATAGCAAAAAAATCCTGCACGGGGACCCAGACATCCAAGTTCTAAGTCCTCCAGCCAAAAAGACCACCTTTCCTTGAGAGTCGTGTCCCCAGTCTTGCCACATCTGTTCTCATCTCTCTCTTCACTGTTCCCTGGGATCCTTTTCCCAGAGTAAAAGTAACCTCCGGTCCAAATCAAGCTGAGAAAGCGTCTCTCACCTCATTACTGAGGAAGCCTCCCTCCGCTTCAGTTTAAAACAGTCCGCGTCCCTTGAGCCCCTACCCTGTGCCCAGCCCCGAGCTGGACAATGCTGAGCCCGAGGCTCACAGTCCAGTGAGAGAGACAGACATGCGCCCCGACAGCGAGGATCCAGAGTGGGCAGGGCTGGGACAGCGGAGCCCAGGGCAGGCAGCTGACCCAGGCTGGGAGGTCAGCGGGGGCTTCCAGGAGGAGGGGACATCCAAGCCAAGACTGAAAAGATGAGGAAAAGGTATCCAGTGTAAGTGGAGCTGGAAGCATGCATCACAGATTTAGTTTCAAGCAACAAAAGCCGCCTCTGGGGCAGAAAGGAAATTGACTGAGAGGACTTGGGATCACTCACAGAATCCAGGACGTGATTAGAGAAGCAGAACTGGAAAGTGAGCAGCAACGCTGGCAGCTGGCCTCCAACCATAGCCCAGCCACGAACCGGTCTGATGAGGATACACTGGCGACCACTGGACACTTGTCATCTTGCCTCCACTGCCCCAGAAGCAGGCAGTGTCTGCTAGCTGTGGCTCAGAACAAATCACACACCGAAATTTACTGGCAAACAGCCACAATCATTATTATTGCTCACGCATGCTGTGGGCCAGGATTTGGGGAGGAGCTCAGCTGGGTGCTCCCAGCACAGGGTACAATCAAGTGGGGCTTGGGTGGGGCAGCCGGGGCTGGACAGGCGTACCTCTGCAGTCTCAGAGCTCTCCGTGGGCTCTCGCGCTTGTTGGTTTGGGCTTCCCGGCAGCATGGCTGCCTCCAGGTGGTCAGGCTGATTCATGTGGTGGCCGAAGGCATCATGGACGCTATTTCAGTGACCCAGGCAGAAGCTACATGGCTTCTCTACCTAATTTTGGGAGTCCAGTAGCATCATTTCTGGCACATTCTATTGATTAAGTGTGAGTCACAAAACTGCACAGATTTAAGAGGAGGGGACATAGACCTCACTTCGTGTGTGTGTGTGTGTGTGTGTGTGTGTGTTGGGTGTTGTCATTTTTCAACTTGACAGTCTAAGGGAAAAGAAGTCAGTGTCCCTGGCAAAGCAACAGTCAGGTATCGCGTGTTTTAAAAACTTGCAGCCCGCCAGACATACCGGTATAAAACCTCTGATCTCGAGAAAACGCCTTCTCCTCTATCAGGGAAGACCTGGAATGGTAGGACCTCGTTGCCCTGTTTTGCTCTGGACGGCAGGGGTCCGGCGGAGTGAGGGAGGCCAGCGCTACCCTGAGGAACCAGATTGAAGGCATCTGAATCGGAGGCCCAACGACAGGCAGCACGCGCTCGTTTACAGGCGCAGCCGCCTTCTGGCATTTCAATCAGAAACTGTGTGTCATTCAACAGTGGGCCTGGGCCAGCCCCCAGCAAAAGGCGAAGTGAAGCTGACCGACATCTCCTGGGATAGCATGTGGTGGCATTGGTCCCAGTGGCTGCACACAGGTCGGTAGAGTCCTGGTGGTGGACGCGTACTGTCCCCCATATAGGCTCACTCCTCTCAGCGGCTCCAAAGCCTGGCCAGTTGACTTCCAGCCCTGCCCCAGCTGCGGGGACCACTGCCGATCCCTCGACCGGCCGACCTGCCGACCTGCCACGTGAATCACCCCCTCTGGAATGTTTCAAAAAGCCGGACCCTGGTCATCTGTCTCACAGAACGCGTGACCTTAGCCAAAGGGCCGAGAAGCTACCTAGACCCCACTTCTTGGTAGAAAGAGTGTCAAGACCAGATGTGAGAAGAACGGGTGGGATGAGAGATACTGTTGCAGCCATTTTTGGAAAATAGAATTTGTCCCAGCCGCCATGGCAGGAACAGATCTGCCGGTCCCTGCTTCTGTAATGTTATTAGTTTCTGATTCCCAAGCAGAACAGGATTTGCCAAGGTCAGTAGCGCAAACGTATGTCCTCATGGGCTTCTACAGAGGGGAACAGGCCTTCAGACAACACGGATTTTTTTCTAACTGTGGGAAGGGGGTGCAGATGCTAGGGAACCCCCCAAACTCCACCACAGTCCACCCCTTTGAAAATTCAACATTATACCCACCCTTTGTTTTGTACTTCCATTCTATTCCCCAAAATGTTCTTATCTAAACTCCCTGCACAGCTAACTCTTGTCCAACCAAAAATGCACTCGCGCTCCCCGCGCCCTGAGACCACACAAAGTCTCCATAGTTACATTTTCCAGCCGCCAGTCTGGAATTACGGGGGAACAGCCATCACCCTTGAAATGTGTCACGATCCAGTAGTCACCGAGCTGTGAACTAGTTTTTAAAGATAGCCATCACACACTGCACATAAAATAATGGAGAAAGGTGGAGAAAAGATAAGGCTTGGTAATTAAAAGGGGGAAGTGCGTGCGCATGGGACAGCAAGAATGAACTGGAAAATTAATTCGCTGAATGTTTGCTCAGCTCCTTGGACCACGCGCTGTCCTGGTCACTGGAGAGACAGCAGCGAACACAACTGTGCGGAACTGTGTGAGGCAAACAAAAATATGTGACAGTGAAAGTGCAATGGAAGAAAACTGTAGGAAGATAAGGGAAATAAGGAGTGGCTGGGAAAGCAGGAATTGCTATTTGACTAGGTGATGTTGGATAGAGATTTGAAGCAAGTATGAGGGGAAAGAATGTTCCAGCAGAGGGAAAAGTAAGGGCAAAAGTCCTGAGGCTAGAGCATGTCTGGTGGTGGAGGAACAGCCCAGAAGCCAAGAGAGCAACATGGCGAAAGCAGAGCTAGCGAGCAGCAAGGGAGAGGAAGGTGACAAGGACCGGATCGTGGACCTGTGAGCCAGGGGGTAGACTTTTGCATTTACTCAGTGAAGGGAGACGGGGAGAAATCTGTGCAGAAGAGTCCTATGAGCGGACACACATTTTAATGGAATTCCTCCAGCTGTTCAACAGTAATAAATTGCAGGGGACAAGGACAGGTGATGTCACGGTACCAGTTTCTGCAAGTTTGTCAGGGGCTGTGGCTGGTATTTATGGCTTTGCTACTTCAGACACCACATTGGGTTTCCCTACCCTAGAAGCTAGGCTGGCTGGGCTCTTGAGGAAAGCAGAAGCGGGGAGGCTGGTGAGAGGTGCCCACCAGAATCCAGCCGGAGAAGCAGGTGCCCAAGCCAGGGCGGAAGAGCAGGGGAGAGGGTGTCTGGAGTCACAGTGTGTGAGCCTGTTTGGGAATGTGACTGCCGTTGTCCACGAGTGAGTTTGTATCGCGTGTCCTCCTATGATCCAGCCTGAGTGGGGTTTGCATGTGAGCCTGTGCGCTCCGGAGTTTGATCCTTGCAAACCTTACCTGAGGGCCTGCTCTCTTTCTGGCCTTGTTTTGGGGACACAACAGTGCCCGAGACAGCCGCGGGCCTTGCTCTCACGGACTCACAGTTCAGTGGGGGAGACAGACAAGTCTGTCCCCAGATAGGGATGGCCCAGAGTGTATAGAAGTGGCGTAGGGGAGCCCTAGGGGTTATGGGAGCCCAGGGGGGGCACCTGCCACAGCAGTGGGGGAGAGGGGCAGGGGGGAAGGCGACCTAGACAAGGCAATGGCGCAGCTAATACCAGAAGGTCACCTCTCCTGGTATAACAATTGCCCTCCTGTATCACCGATGGATAAAGGAGCTTTGCCCGGTCTGACTCCCAGGAGGACCTGTAATCTGAGCCTTCCCTCTGTGCCTGATGGGCAAAACCCTGTCTTACCAGTGACCCCCAGCATGATCAGAGGCCTGGGGAAGCTCTGCTAGCATGGCCGGCTTACCCCCATTCTGACCAATATCCAGGGCTTAATTTCTCCCTGGTAACCAGTGACCTCTCCTGACCCCCGACGCCCCCCATCCATCAGTCTGGGGATTTTGCCCTAGTCTGACCCCGTTTGTGGGGAGCCTGGGCACTGTGATCTGTGATCCTCAGTGTGACCTGTGATCCCTCCACCTGATCCACAGATGGGCTCCTCTCACTCTTTCCTCAGGTGCCCTGGCCTTCTTGCCTCTCCCCCTCACCTGCTGCTGCCAGCCTGCTTCTCTTCCCCTCCCCCAGGTAGGGAGGGAGTGCGGGAAAGGGGGGGAGGGAGGGAGGCGGCATTCCTGGGATTCCCTGGATGGGGGAAGAGAGAGGGCCCTGCAGGGGAGAGCCAAAGAGGGGCCCCCCCCGCCCCACCCCCGCGCTCCGACCCCCCCAGCCCAGGTAGAACTTGAGTTTGGAGACCATTAAATATGAGATTAAACTGAAGGGTCCAGGCCAGTGGTCAGGCAGGAAACCAGCCCAGAGCACGGGCCACCGGCAAGGGCCCCTCCGGGGCATACTGGCAGAAGCTGTTCTAGGCCACTGGTCAGGCTGGGTGCTGCGGGTTGTGCTCAGAGGCCAGTGCCGGCCACTGGTTGTGCAGGGTCAAATGCACAAGGCCCCGGATCAAAAGGGGGAGAGGATTTGAGATTTTCTGGTAAGGTCCAAGATAAGGACACACTGGCTGGACTGGTCCGTCAAGCCATTCGCCGCGGGTGCTGGTCAGCAGGAGCGACAGCCTGGGGCTAGGGGCAGAGACAGCGCCGCTCTGGCAGAGTGTTGGGAGGTCCTCTCCGGGCAGTGGGAGGTCCTGGCCCGGCGCCCAGGTTTGGTGCGACCGGCGGGTTGGGGGGGGGGGGGCGGGGGCGGGGCGGGGCTTGGGCGGGGCCTTCTCCTCCCAGCCTCGCGGCGACCTCCCCGGCCGCAGCCGGGGCTCAGTTGCTGCTGCCACCGCTGTGGACATGGAGCCCCCGGAGGCCTGGGCCAGGAAGCGCAGGGCCCCGCGGCTGCTGGTGCTGGCGCTGCTGCTGGGGGCTCACCCAGGTATGCTCGGGCTGAGAGCAGGGCGCGCGGGGTGCGGCTTCTGGGGATCTGGAACTAAAAGGGAAAGAGTCCTTTACCCACCTCAGAAAATCAAATCTGGCCATCCTGGGAAGGAGGCATATGGGGGCATGGGGAGTGTCCCTCACAATCAGAGACTTGGGGACAGCCAGGCAGAGGAGCTGGGGACACCGCAGCAGTGGGTTAGAGACCGCCTGAGAAGCCAGAACCCCCCTCCCCGCTGGGGTCCCAGCAGTGTGAGCCCTCAGCCCCTTCCTCCTTCAGCTCCAGGATCTGGGTCTGGGGCCCCCTGCCCAGCTCAGACCCCAGGGTCCAAGCCTGCAGTGGCTGGAGTGGCTTCCCCCGGGACCCAGGAGACCAAAAGCTGAGGGCTCCTCTGCTGAAAGATTCTCAAGTTTTGAGAGGGTCGGAAACCCTATAGCTAGAACCAGCCAGTCTGATGCATTTGAGGGTTTGGGAGACCAGACTCCAAAGAGCCCGCCTCCCTCAGGGCAGGGCTGGAGCACCAGCCCTGGACAGTGACAGGGGAACAAAGTGCTTCCGAGTGACAGCGCCCCCTTCCTGAGGCCCCAGATAAATCCACACACCTGCGTGCCGGTCGGAGGGGAGAAGGCCCCGAGGCCTGGCCACAGAAGGGTGGGGAGATACGAGGCATCTTTCTGTGCACCCTGCTCTCGCTGCTCAGACGCAGCCCCGGGCAGCAGCCTGGCCCCCAAGGCCCGCCCCGGGCCAGGCCTGGGCCAGAGGCGGGTGCCTACGAATCCAGGCCCCTGGCACAGCATGGCAAATAGTGGGTCTCCAGGGGCAGGGCCGGGCCGGGCTGGGCGGGGAAGGGACGGGAGGCCCCAAGAAAAGAGAGCCGATGCCAGGATGCAAGCCCAGAGGGTGAGAGAGCGTGGTTTCCCAATGAGGATGGCTGCTCTGTCTGCCAGGGTCTTGGGACAAGTATCCAGGCCCAGCCACCTACTCCCCCAGGACCCAGGAGTCCAGGCTCCCAGCTCTTCCTCCCTCGGACTCCGGATCCCGGACCCCAATCCCATCCTGTTCTGAGGTGACAGGCCTTGCCGCCTTTCCCACCTTACCCCCTTCCCTGCTCTACCAAAGGGGCGGGGGTGGGGGGGGCAAGGGGCGGGCAGGGGGCTCTGGCGCCAGGCCGGGCATGTCTCAGCCAGCCTGTCCCTCCCACATTCCTGAAACCTGCCCAGCCCTGTCCCCCCTCACCACCCCCACACACCCATCCCGCCTCAGCTCCAGGCCCAGCCGAAGCCCTCACCCCACCTCAGCCTCCCACTCGTGAGGGAGAGGCCCAGAGGCTGAGAGAGATGGGGACTGAGAATGACGGGCTCAGAGAGACAGAGGCAGAGACGGTGGCAATAAGAGATGGAGCCCCAGGATGAGAGACACACAGGCAGAGATGGAGACATTTATCCCGTGTCACTGTGTGCCAGGCCCTGCGTAGGATGATGGAGGCAAAAGGATGAGCGAGCCCTGGCCCTGCCCTTGAAGGGCGTTTGGTCGAGTCAGAAAAGCAGGGACAGGTGCAATGTTACTCCAAGAAGACTGAGTGGAGGCCACTAGGGACCTGCGTGGCCCAGGGGAGAAGCCCTCAGTTCTGCAAGTAAAAAGAGAGATGTGGAGAGAAATGCCGATGGGGTCTGAGCTCAGAGACACAGAGATGAGCGACGGAGGGAGACAGGAGCTGCTGGGTCTGAGGGAAGAGGGGCTGAGGGGCCTGGACTCCTGGGTCTGAGGGGGAGGGAGCGTGCACTATTCTGTCCTTGGGGAAGAAGGGCTCTCCCTGAAGGGCCCTCCCCACTGGTGGCAGTGGGCGAGAGCTCTGTTGCCCTCCTGCAGGTGCACTGGCTGAGCTGCAGGTGTCTGTGCCCCCCCTGGTGGAGGTGATGAGGGGGGAGCCCGTCGCCCTGGACTGCACCCCTTTGGGGGCCCATAGACAGTACCAGCTGAAATGGTTCCTGGTGAGTGCTTTGGGCTGGGGGCCAGGGCATAGCTGGAGGGGGATCTGAAGGCCAGGGCAAAGTGGGGCTGCAAATAGTCACTCCTTCATCAGAATCCAAAAGATCCTAAGAGCTCCACCTCGCTGCCTTTCCATTTCACAGATGGGGAAACTGAGGCCCAGCAAAGGGAAGGTGCTCTGCAGCTTCCCCTGGTGCCCAGGCACAGCTGAGACTAGTCCCCCTTCAAAGTGCTGGCTCTTGGGAGAGAACATTCAGAGACAGACACCAAGAAAGCAAGGCTTGGGTGGGACCAAAGAGACAGAAAGAGGAGAGAAAATAAGAAAGAGAGAGACAGGATGGGAGAGAGAAGGACTGAGGTGGGAACAGAGTGGAATGGAGAAAGAGGGAGGCAGAGAGAGGAAAACAGGACAATGGGTAGGGGACAGGGGCGGGAGTGGGGGGAGGGAGGGGCAGAGGGACCAGAGAGAGGTAACACGGGGAAAAGAGACAGAGCAGCAGGAAGAAAGGGACGGGGAAAGAGACAGATGCTGAGAACGCTGGCGGGGGGAGCCCTGAGCTGAGGCCCGGCTCACCCACAGACTGACCGCTCCGGGGCGCGCCACCTCCTGGCCGAGGCCGAAGTGCAGGGCTCTGAGGTCCAGGCAAGGGTGCAGGACGCCAGGGGCCGCAGTCCCCCATACCAGCTGGAGTCCCCGGGGCGCCTGGTGCTGGCCGAGGCCCAGGTGAGCGACGAGTGGGACTATGTGTGCGTGGTGACAGCGGAGGCAGCGGGCACTGCCGAAGCCACCTCAAGGCTCCAGGTATTTGGTGAGTGTCTGTGGACACCCTGGGGGAGAGTGGGGGGCGGGGGAGAGCCTGGGAAGGGTTTCCTGACAGCAACATCTCCCCCATAGCAAAACCAGAGGCCACCGACGTCTCCCCCAACAAAGGGACGCTGTCTGTGACAGATGAATCTGCCCAGGAGGTAGCTCAGACCCACCTTGATTCCAGGATCCTGGAGGAAGAGAGGGCTGGAGGGTCCCAGAATCTTGGGTCACAAGGATGGAGGGGCGTGGGTGCCAGACTCCTATGCCCTGGGTGAGGAGAGGGCTGGGGCCCCAGAACCCTGGACCTGAGTGGGGAGAACTGCCGACGGAGCAGGGGACCCGGGGTTGAGTCCTGGCCCAGAGCTCAGAGCCACACTTACGCCTGCCTCAGATCGCCACATGCCACAGCCGCAACGGAAACCCAGCCCCTCAGATCAAGTGGTACCGGAACGGGGAGGCCTTGCAGCTGCCCATGGAGATGAATTCGAGTGAGTGGTGCAGCTAGAAGTGGGTGGGGCGGCGTCCGGGCGGGGCTGACTGACCACACCCCCTCCCTCCCAGATGGCTACATAACCAGCCGCACTGTGCGGGAGGCCTCGGGTCTGCAGTCTCTCACCAGCAGCCTCTACCTGCGGCTCCACAAGGACGACCGCGACGCCGAGTTCCACTGCTCCGCGCACTACACCCTGCCCCAGGGCCGGCACGGTCACCTGGACAGCCAAGCCTTCCGCCTCACCCTGCACTGTGAGTCTGTGCTGGCCCGGCCTCCCTGACCTCGGACTCCACACCTCACTGAGACCCAACCCTCCGCGAGACAGCCTTGGCCCCCACACTCCGGCCCTCCATTCGCCTGTCTTGTGCTGAAATGTGTGCTGGCTGCAAAGAGTAGCACGGACCCCACTTGACTTCGGACCCCCGCTCGTAGCGCTGACCCCCCTGCAGTACAACTGAACTTCGTGCCGCATCTTCCTGTACCGCATTGGGTCCCCAGATCTCGCACTGATCCGCTCCCCTTGCCCTTCCCCTTAGATCCCACAGAGCACGTGCAGTTCTGGGTGGACAGCCCAGCCACCGCAGAGGGCTGGGTGCGCGAGGGGGACTCTGTGCAGCTGGTCTGCCGCGGGGATGGCAACCCCAGCCCGGAGTACATATTTTACCGCCTTCAGGTGACTCACTCTGTCGTTCCTTTGGAATCCCCAGCCCCTGACTTCTGTGGCCTACTGACCTAGTTACCTGCACCAAGTTCTGACCTTTTACCTGGTGGCCCTGGCCTAGCAAGGAACCTGGCCGGTGGCCCAGGAGCTGACAGGACTTCTGACTTGAAGTCCCTGAATTTGAGAGAGTCCTGACTTGGTTTGACCTGGGAGACCCCTGGCCTAGAAAGACCTCTGCTCCCTTACTTGCGGGGGGTCTGACCTAATATGACACTACCTAGGACACCTTGACCTGTCAAGAGGACTGGTTTTGACCTAGGTGTCCCTTGACTTCACGTGATGACCCCACTGGACCAGGGTGGCTTCTGAGCCAGGTTCCTCATCCTTGGCCACCCAGGACAAGGAGGAGAAAATGCTGGAAGCAGACCCCGCAGGGAACTGGACCCTGGAGAAGGTGCAGCGGAGCCAGAGCGGGACCTACGGCTGCAGGGCCGAAGACTTCGATGCCGCCGAGGACGCTGAGCTCTCCCAGACCCTGGAGCTGCGCGTGGCCTGTGAGAGCCCTGGGAGGACCAGGCGGGGGGGGGGGGTGCTGGCACCTGCTGCCTCCCCGCCTTCACCCCTGCAGTCCTGCCTCCCTTTGGTCCAGACGCTTCCTTCCCCCTGGGGACCCGGCCCTGGCCCCCTTCATACTCCCACACCAGGCAGCCAGCGAGCCCTTTCCAAAGCAAACCTGACATTCTCCTGTTCCAGAACCTGCCTTGGCTCCCCAGTGCCCTCTAGAGAAAGCCCAGGTGCCTCCATGCTTTCAAGGCCCACCTGTCTGGTTTCACCTGTGGCTGACCCTTCTCCCCATCAAGGCATTTTCCTCATCATACCCAAACGTCTCTCCTTCCCATGGTACCTCCCCATCGTTCTACTACCATCCATTTCTGACCAGTCTCTTGGGTTCCCATTTTCTAAGAAGCCTTGTCCGTCCACTCGCCCTCTGCCCACCCCGAGCCCCTTGCAAAGACTGCTCCCCCTCGGCACTCTTTAACGTCTCCCTATCTGGGGCTAGACCCTGTGCCAGATGTTGGTGACACATCTGTGAGCAAGACAGCCCAGTCCCCACCTCCGCAGAGCTCCCAGCCCAGTTGGGGAGACAGATAGCCCATGCTAAACAGGACACTTTGCAGTATGAATCCTGCATCTGCGGGGATTAATGGAGAATAATAGGATAAGGAATAGTCGGGGGTGGTGTTTTCAGGTTGTGTCCTCAGGAAGAAGATTCTGACTCAGAGATACGCAGGCAGGAAGTTTATGGGAAGCCTTAGCGTCCAGGTCTGCTGGGGGTGGGGAGGAGAAGGAAGCAGGATTGGACGGGGGAAGGAGTTGGGCTGCCGTCTAAGAAGGCCTCTGTGTGGCCCCACAGGGCACGTGGAAGCTAGGATGTTCCCCTTGGGGGCAGAGGGGCCTGGCTTTGGTCCTGCCATATCAACCAGTCATTAGCTATTGGGCTGCCTGAGGAAGGGGGAGTGACCTTGAGCGAGGGGCTCTCTGCAGCTGAGGCAGTTGCCGGAAAGGGCTGACAGCTGAGGGCTGACAGCTGATGTCCCTCTCAACAGCTGAGGGGGAAATCTGAGTGTCCACAACAGGGGGTTAGACAAACCTCTCTGAGGAGGGGGCGTTTGAATAAGACACTGTGCAATCCAAACTGCAAAGAAGGAGAGCACTTCAGGTAGCGGGAGCAGCGAGTGCAAAGGTCCTGAGGGAGGACCCAACTTGGTGTGCTGGAGAAAGGCAAGAGGAGAACAGGGTAGCTGGAGCTCAGGGTGCAGGGACGGAGGATGGGAGATGAGGTCGAAGAGGGAGGCGGGGTTCAGTCACACCAGGTGGGATTTTTTGGCTTTGTCAAGGAATTTGGCCTCTATACCATGGGGACTGGGAGCCTCTGGGAGCCACGGGGGATCCAGTACAGGATTTTAAGCAGAGGGAAGGGCTGACCAGTGTGGGTGTTTTTTTGTTTGTTTTTAATTTTAAAGATTACATTTATTCGCTTTTAGAGAGAAGGGAAGGGAGGGACAAAGACAGGGAAAGCAACATTAATGTGTAAGAAACACGTTGATTGGTTGCCTCTCACATGCCCCCAACTGGGGACCTGGCCCACAACCCAGGCCTGTGCCCTGACCAGAATCGAACCGGTGACCTTTCCGTTCAGAGGCCAGCGCTCAATCCACTGAGCCACACCAGCCAGCTGACTCGTGTTTTGGAAAGATCTCTCTAGCTGCTCAGTGGAGAGCAGATTGGAGTCCTGCCTGGCAGGGAGGCCAGTGAGGAGGTGACCGCTGTGGTCAAGGCAGTTGGACGGGGTGTTCAGAGGTGGGCAGAAGTGGAAGGATCCATTTTCGGGGCAGCGCAGGGAAAGACTTAATGAAAGAAAGAGCAGTTGGTGGGGGGGTAAGGCAAGGTTTTAAGTGTGAGCAAAGGGGTTTGGGCGGTAAGTCAGAGAAGGAACACCTCACACCTCCAAGGCCATCCGTTAACCTTGGGCCCACACGTCAGCTCTGGGGGAAAGTGGCCCAGGCGGCCACAGACTCTGGAGTTAGCCTCTTAGACGGGCTCGAGCTTTGGCCTGCATGGCAGAGGGGCGCGCGGCATCCTCTGCTGGCAGCTGTGCATCATGCCCGCACCCGCAGTAGCCCTTGAGCGCCCCAACCAACTTGCGGAGGGTCCGGGTAAGTGGCAACCTGTATCCCCTCCAGACCTGGACCCCATCGAGTTTAGCGACAAGGAGGAGCTTTTCTCAACCCTGGGCAAGACAGTGTCCACGAACTGCTCCGCTCAAGGCCTTCCCACCCCTGCTCTACGCTGGACCAAGGTGAGAAGGAAAGGAGTCCCAGGCCACGGGACCCCCCCTCCCCTCATCCCTCCTTTTCTCACGGTCCACCTGGCCTCTTCTCCCCACCCCCAACCCTACAGGACTCGGTACCCCTGGGGGACGGCCCCACGCTCTCACTCAGTTCCATCACCTTCGATTCCGCTGGCACCTACGTCTGCGAGGCCTACATGCCCACGGTCCCCCTCCTTAGTCGCACCCGGATCCTCAAGCTGCTGGTCGAAGGTTTGGGGGCCGGGGCAAGGGCAGGTTGGGGTGGGGACAATGAGGGGTGGGGCGGGAGGTCAGGACCAACCGGAAGGGACTCTAGGGGGTCCCTCAGTCCCTCCTGAACTCCTCTCCCCCTCCTCTCTTTCTCACTCTCTTCTTTGCCCGCTGCGCTGCCCCCTCACTCCCTTCCTCACCACCACCCACAGGGTCACCAGAGTTAAGGCCGGAGGAGACTCAGCCCAAGGCAGAGGGCAGCTGGCGAGAGGGAGATGAGGTCCGGCTGGCCTGCTCTGCCCGCGGCTACCCGGAGCCCAAACTCGCCTGGAGCGAACTGGGCGGCAGCGTAAGGGACCCTCCCCTCCACCCCGAACCCTCTGGGGCCCCAGGGGACCCTGCCCCTCATGTCCTCTCTCCTACCTTCTGAGGGACTGGCCGTCACCTCTGCCCTCGATCCCCCGGGCCCGGGCCTGACCCAAGCCTCCATAGCCCACAGAGTCGGTCCCCAGAGGGCAGGGCTGGGTAAGCAGCACCCTGACCGTGAAGCTGACCAACACCATGAGCCAAAACGGCATCTCCTGCGAGGCCTCCAACCCGCACGGGAACGCCCGGCACGTCTTCCACTTCGGCACTCGTGAGTAACCGTGGTGGTGGGGCAGGCGCCGTGGGGCAGACGAGCGCTGCTGGCCGAGCTCTTCCTCCTGTCCTTGTCCCCACAGTGGCCCCCCAGACCTCCCAGGCTGGAGTGGCTGTCATGGCCGTGGCCGTCAGCGTGGGCCTCCTGCTCCTCGTGGTCGCTGCCTTCTACTGCATGAGACGCAAGGGGCGCCCGGGCTGCTGCCGACGGGGGGAGAAGGGGGCTCCGTGAGTGGCCCACAACCTGGGAATTGACCTCTGTAACCCGACCCCATCCCTAGGTCTCACTCTGAACTCAGCCTCAAGCCCAGCCCGTGCAGAACCTCAGTAGCATCCCATCCTCAACCCCAGACCAAATGCAATGCAGTCCCGCCTCAGGGCCTAGTCCGTCGCCATCCCCTCTCCCATCTTCCTCCCCACCCACGATCGCCCCATCCAACCCATAACCATCTTCAAACCTCCAACCCCCACTGAGCCGCCTCCCCAGTCTCCACAACCCCATCTCACCCCCACCTCCAAACCCGTCTCCAGTCCCAGTCTTCCCCTTGTCCCCAAACCCGTCCCATCTAACCCCCGCTCCGCCCGACCACACCGCATCCTCAACCCCAGCACGACCCTCCTCATTGCCCACCTCAACCCAGCCACAGCCCGAACTCCCTGAACTCTGAAATCCAACTTCGTCCCCACTCCGACTTGTCCCCCAACCGCGCCCCAGCTCCGCCCAATCACCCGCCCCTGACCAGCTTCAACTGCGTCCCCATCCCAAAAGCCCCTGCGGCTCACCTCGTCCCCAGCCCTAACGCCAAACCCATCCCTGTCTAACCTCATCTCCAACCCCAACCAAACGGTCAGCCGCCCTCAACCCCAACCCGTCGGCGCCGTCTAACCCGCCCCCAGAGCGGACCCCAGTCACCATACCATCTCCAGCTCTAGCAGCACGTTGGATGCTAGCCCCAATGTGTCCCTAACCCCGATGCCACAACCACCCGCTACCCCGTCGTCAGCCCATTCCCAGCCACCCTCCAATCTATCTCTACCCAGCACAGCCCCATCCCCGGTTCCTTCCCAGCTAGGACCGCTTCCAACGTGTTGCCTCTCGTCCCCAGGCCACCTGGGGATCCAGAGCTGAGCCACTCAGGGTCCCAACAGCCAGAGCAGACGGGCCTTCTCATGGGAGGCACCTCTGGAGGAGCCAGGCATGGCAGTGGGGGCTTCGGAGATGAGGTGGGTGAAGGCCCGGGCACCCTGGTGCGAGGGTTCCTGCGGGGGCGGGGGTGCAGCCTCCATGGACACAGGCTGACCTTTCCATCTTCTCCCCAGTGCTAAACCTGAGGGCCTCCAAGAGGCAGCCATTGGACCCAACCTGGAGTTGCAGGCATCAAAGAACCAGCCCTGCTCCCGCCCTGCCCACCCCCGCCTTCCCGGCCTTCCCTCTCCGGCCCTCCCTTCCTTCCTCTGCAGGCTGGGCAGGGACCTGCAGACACTGTGGGGAGGGAGGGAGGGTGCGCTGCAGGGTGGGAGGGGACCTTCCTCCTGGGAGTATGACTCTCCCAGGCCCCAGAATAGCTCCTGGACCCAAGCCCAGGACCCGGCCTGGGACAAGGCTGTGAGGGTCGGCTGGCCGAGGCTATTTTTACCCACGCCTCCATTGCCGGTCCCCCCACCTGACGCCCTGCTGCATAGTCTGACACTGGATCCCCACCCCCGCTGTGCCCCCTCATCACGGACACTGGAGTCTGGAATAAACGCTGTCTGTCACGTCGACACCATCCTGTGGCCGGGGCCTCCTCTGGGGGATGAGAGGGGAAGGGGCTCAGGTGACGTTCCCCTCCCTTCTGCTCCCTCAGGCCCCTTGCAAGAGCTGGGAGATGTCGGATGTCATGAAGAAAGAAATGAGAGAGAGAGAGAGAGAGAGAGAGAAAGAGAGAGAGAGAGAAAGCAGAGGGTGACTCAGCCGCCGAGGATGAAAGAGGGATGCCTGGGGTCCAGGGGCCGCTGAGAATGGCCCCTGGAGGACTAGTGTCTGCCTGGTGGCTGGGCTGCTGTCCCCTTAAGTAAAAGTTCCAAGATTCTCTTGCCAGAGCCCCAGAGGGAATTGAAGCTGTGAGAGGAAAAATTCTCTGAGCTGTAGAGTGGATGGAATTAGGCATGGAGCTGCCTCCTCTGGGTAGGGCATCATTCCTGCAGCTGGGGGAGGAGGGGTGGCTTGGACGACCCCGACGGAGGCGCCTGGGGAAGAGGGAAGGGACAGCAGGGACAGCGAGGCCTGAGGCAGAGTCAGAGGAATAGAAAGTCCTGGGGATGGAGGGAGCATAGGAGGGTGGACAGGAGCAGCTCAGAGATGAGAGCTCTAGAGCCACACTGAAAGATTTAGGGAGAGGGAGGAAGAGGCAGACAGAGAAACACAGAAAGAATGTGGAGGCAGAGAGATCATTAGATAATTACAGTCAAAAAATGTTGAGAGCTGCCCAGAAGCAGCGGTGGAGGTGGGCGTGTGTGACCCCGAGCCCATCAAACGGAGATACATCACGCTTGGGCCCACGGAGGGCCGCTGTGAGGCGTGGGCGTGACGATCCCTGCGGAACGCACGCGCAGGGAGGTCCCTGCGCTCGGAAGCCTCTGGCCTGAGCTAGTGACTCTGCCTTGCTGTCCTCAGTGTGCTCAACCACAAAATGGACAAGGTGGAATCTCGTGCCTGTGGGAAACTGGCGAGAAGCTATGGAAGCCTCTTACTAGGTGATCCGAGCAGCCTGCCCAGAGGTCCCGGAGCGGAGGAGCTCACCAAACTGATTCAGGTGCTCAAATCCCATGGTTTGTCGAATCAGTTTAAAACATGATTTGCAAGAAGCAAGAAGAGATAGGCCAGGTTAACACACTTAGTTCGGGGTACAAGTGATCAAAGGCCCCTGCCACCTGAGTTCTGGGGTATGCATGGCCCTGTGTCCGGTCTCTCTCACACCGTGATGAGATTTTGACCCCCAGAGCGGAAGGTGAGCCCGAGGGTTCTGCACCTGGAAGGTGCCAGGGTCACTCAGGGGACAAACGCACCTGGCTTTTACCTGCGTGACTTGAACACAGGGCTCGTGAAAGAGCCGGGGTCACCAACAGGGAAGGACCTTAAGGGTACATGGAACTTGGGACTTACTGGGTCCTTTCATCCTTCGCGTCTGTGTTGACGTCACATTCTTAATCGGTCTAACAGGCTTAATGAGTTGCTTTTTAATATCCATCCTTCGTTTCGTCTGTCTCCTTGTTCGTGTGACTTTATTGTTCTCTCGATGACAAAATTGAAGATTCTTTTTCAAAAAGTACAGCAGACACACAGAGGGTCATAGTGTGATGGGGAGAATTTGATAAGACGACAGTAGAAAGTGTTTAGTACAAAGCCTGGCACAGAGTATGTGCTTGGTACATGTTTTGTAGTAGTAGTAGTAGTAGTAGTAGTAGTAGTAGTAGTAGTATCCAATGGTAATAAAGGGACAGAGAAAAGCAAAGTAGAGGCCCTTGATCCAGGGAAGGGACCAGGTGGAAAGAGATCCCATTCTGAGAATAGACATGGGTGAGAGGGGATTCCGGGAGTTGGAGGGGTAGTGAACAGCTGTTCTGGAGGAAGGGGAGAAAGGGAACTCCAGGGAGGAAGGGGTTCTCCGCCCAGCACCTGGTCCCCAAGTTAATGAGGGGAGGGTCCTGGCCCGCCTCCCAGGAGGACATATATTTGCATAGGATCCCTCATCTGTATAGCATCCCAGGAAATTTGTATACAAATGGCTTCCTGAGCCCTCATCAGTCTGACCCCTCCTTCTACCTCGGCTGAGGGTCTGGGGGAAAGAGGAGGGGTAAACTGCAGGATCTGGGGCTCCAGGAAGGAAAGGCAAATTTAGAGTAGACTCCTCTTGTTCATCAGTCTTTTGCGGCTTCCTGTTGCTCCCAGGAGCACGAGCTGCCCTTCACCTGGCATTCGGGAACTTCTTAGCTGTTGCTCCTCACACCCACCCACTGCTCCCTCTCTCACATATGTTCCCATCTTGTACCTTTGTGACTTTAGTATCTGCCTCACCTGGAATGTCTGGCCTTCCCTATTTCCCACCCTCTGTAACAATGCTTGCCTGTCCTTCAAAGCTTGCACATCTTGAAGGATTCTGAAAAGTGTTCACTACCCTTTCCCTGGCCTTGGAGCTTTACAAGACTCTGTGCCTCTTGTGAACTTGTATAGATTTTATTAGTAAGGATAAGTTTGATTGCAAATGATGAAAAAAAAACCCCAAAAATGTGTGTAAGTGCAAAGGAAAAGTTATTCATCCATATAACCCGGAATATCAAACACTGACTGCCTTCAGGCATAGCTGGATCCAGGGGCTCAACTAGTCTTCATCAGAAAGCTGTCCTTGCCCTGTCACAAAGACGGTGCCCGAAGCAAAGAAGGAAGCTGCTGCCCCTCCCAAAACTGGAGCCAAAACAAAAGCCTTGAAGGCAAAGAAAGCAGTGCTAAAAGGCGTCCACAGCCACAAAAAAATAAAAGAAGATCCACATGCCACCCGCCTTCTGCGGGCCTAAGACACTGCAGCTCCAAGGCAGCCTAAGCACCCTCAGAAGAGGGCCCCCAGGAGAAACAAGCTTGACCACTATGCCGCCATCAAGCTCCCCGACTCCCAAGTCAGCCATGAAGGAGCTAGAAGACAATACACCTGTGCCCATTGTGGATGTCAAGGCCAACAAGCACCAGGTCAAACAGGCCGTGGAGAAGCTCTGTGACATTGACGTGGCCAAGGTCAATACCCTGATCCGGCCTGAGGGAGAGAAGGCAGATGTTCGACTGTCTCCAGACTATGATGCTTCGGATGTTACTAACAAAATTGGGATCATCTAAACTGAGTCCAGCTGGCTAATTCTAAATATAAAAATTTTTATAGTATAAAAGAAGAAGAGCCCTGGCTGGTATGGCTCAGTGGATTGAGGGCCGGCCTGCAAAGCAAGGGGTCACTGGTTTGATTCCCAGTCAGGACACATGCCTGGGTTGTGGGCCAGGTCCCCAGTAGGGGGCGGGCGAGATGCAGCTACACATTGATGTTTGTCTCTTTCTCCTTCCTCCCTTTCCCACTAAAAATAAATAAAATCTTAAAAAGTAAAAAGAAGAACACATTAAAAAAGAAAAAGAAAGTTGTCCTTTTCCATTTCTCGGCTCTGCTGTTCTCCATGTGCAGACAGGGTCTTCTATCTCCAGTGCCCTCCACAGTAGTAGATTTCTACCCTACCAATTTAGCAGCCCCCACTAAAAGAGGGTGTCCTTTACCTACTAGTTCTAGCAAAAGGCTCAAAATCAATTCTCATTGGACAGGAATAGGACCCACATGCTCATCCCTGAACCAATCCTTGTGGCCAGGGGATCAAATGCTCTGATTGGCCAGGGCTGGGTCAGGCTCATTCTGAATCATAAGGACTGAGTGTAGGGGATTCCCCATAAAAAAATTGTGGGGGTGGGAGATGAAACTAGGAAAGAGGTTGCTGGGCAGCTAGACTACAGCTGGCCCTTGCACAGTGAGGGTGTTATGGGCATTGACCTCATATGCAGTAGAAAATCTTCATCTGTCTACAACTTGGCATATATCTACAGCTCCGTCAGGATGCCTTTGGCCCTGTGCCCCTACCTCCTCGTGTTTATGACTCTTCAGTGAAGTACCATCTCTGAGACTTGTTGATACTGGAAGTCAGCTCCCCAGGCATGGAACTCACCCAGTCATTTGTCAACAAACACAGCAGTGCTCAGCCTTATACGTGAGACTGGGAGCCAGGGTGAAACTCCAGCCTACCCTCTTGAGGCTTGCCTCCTGGGTTCACCTGTGCCCACAGAGAACAGCCAGGGGAGCTGAGCCTGGAGAAGCATGGGTACGAGGCGGGCCTTGTGGAGGAAATCTCTTGGACTTGGTTATTTTGCTCAAGGGAGAAAGGGGGGGCAGAATTTTACAAAGCCAATTAGCAGCAAAGCTGGCACTCAAACCCAGAGATCCTGACCCTCCAGTCTGGCCCCTGATTAGGGAGAGGACAAAAAGATCTAAAGCATATTTATTATGCACCTACTTGTCCAGCCAACCTCATACCAGGCTGTGATAGGCCTGAGATACACATTTCCTGGAAGTCCCACCCTACACTCCCTTAGTGTACTTTTCAGTGAAGTGGAGATCATGAGACATGTCCTCTTCATGGGGTTCTTGAGAAAAATTAACCAAGAGAAGCCGGTCAGTTCTGGATCTGTCCGTTTGTAACTCTGTGATGTTGAGCCAAGTCATTCATTTCTCGGTGCCTCAATTTTCTTATCACAAAGGGTGCTGTGTGCACACTTGAATCAGAGTACACTTAAACCAGCGGCTGGCACAGAGTAAGTGCTAAATACATTTATTAATATTATTATCACCAAGCTGTGAATGCCAGTCAATAAATTTCCACTACTTGAGACCTTGCCCTTCTGGGTTCAGGTGCATAGGCGGGTGGGAGGGAGGGCAAGTCTAAGGGTACTCTTTGCTAGGAAGCTTCCAAGCGTCTGTCCCCAGCCAATCAGCTCTGTGCCTCCTTGCCCGAAAGGAGCTGGAAAAGAGGGATTACAAGCACTCAGTGGCATCCTCTTCCTCAGCCTCCTGCTTCCCGCCCTCACCCCGGCACGCTGGGCGGCCTCACCAGCTCCCCCGGGCAGCCCAAGGAATGTGAAGAGGTAGGTGGGGGTGGGGAGGAGGGGGAGCTGCCAGGGAGAGACAAAGGGGCCGAGTCAGAGCGAGAGACACAAAGACGCGAGGAGGCTGGGAAGATAGAGAAGTGGGACAAGGACACGGGGAGGGGCAGGTGGTGTCTGGAGGCCGGACCCTCGCCCAGGCCCACAGAGAAAGCGGAGCGCGGGGGGCCGGTCTGTGCTGCCCCCTGGCGGGCGGGCGGGCGCAGTAAGGAGGCAGTGCGGACCAGAGGTAGGACGGGGCGGGGCGGGGCGGGGCGGGGGCGGGGATGGATGCACTGAGGGAGGAACAGAAAACAGGCCGGGGCACAGACATCGAGAGACGTGGAAAGACGTGGAAAGGAACAAGAGACACGGAAAGAGAGACACACATACAGACAGGGTCAGAGAAAAAATAAGCACACAGAAGCAGAGACACAAACAGAGACAAAGGCATGGAAAAAAGTCACGGGAAGCAAGTGAAACACATACAGTGATAGAAAGACAAAGAGAGTCCAGAAACACAAAGGGACACGTAGACGTTAGGAATAAAAGACTCAGAGACAGAGAAATTCAGGGACGAAGACGACGCAAAGATACTGAGAGACATAAAGACGGAAGTACTAAGAGAAACAGAGAAGTTGAGAAAGAAACGATGCAGCGACTCCCAGAGTCCTATTAGAAACAGAGGAGGACAAGGTGAGAAGTCCCGAAACGTGAGGATAACACACCGCGAGGGGCAAGAATAAAAGTCGAGAGGCGGGGCTGGTGTGGTGGTGTCCTAGCGCGAGGGCGGGGCTTCAGAGGGGGCGAGCCTATGAAAAGCCGCATGCCTCACGCAGGTGTGACAAGAGGGCCCGGACTAAAGCTGAAGTGGGCGGGGTTAGAGCCTCAGGCGGGGCTTAGACCAGGCGTCCAGCTTCCCGGGAAAAAAACGGAACCGAAAAACCACGGAGAGCAGGGTCTGGGGGCGTGGCTTCACTCGCGGCGGGAGCAGGGTACGGGGACGGCCGGAAGCCTGGAGGGGGCGTAGTAGGACCTTAGTGGAGAGGCCAGTAGACGGGATGGGGCGCCGGGCCGGGGTGAGGCTCTCCGGCAGAAGAGGGGGCGTGGCTACAACACGAAGGGGCGAGGTTTGTACACCGAAGAGGGTAAAGAGCGTTCTGGGGGAGGGGCGAACATGGAATCCTGGGGAGCGGCAGGTGCAGAAGCCTGGGAGGGGGCGGATACAGAATACCCGAGGACGGAGAGTGTAGAATTCTGGGAAGGGGCGGGGCCGAAAGCTGGGAGGGCCCGGCGTAGAATCCCGGGGAGCGGCAACTTGGAATCCCATGAGGGGGCGGGGCCGGAGCCTGGATCAGCTTGGCTGGGGGACGAGGGGAGGACAGGGAAGGGGGTGGGTCCTGTGACGTCAGCGAGTCCGAACCGCCTGAAAGAGGCTAGTGACCAGAGGCGAGGAACCGGGAGAGCCGGGACCGAGATCAGACCCGGGAGAGAAGAACACAGCGGGAACCGGCCGGGGAGCCGGGGCCCCTCAGGCACCTGCTCCTTTGCCCAGTCGATTGGCGCACGCAGAGCCACACTCAGGCCCCTGCCCGGCCTCAGTCCCTCCCCGGGCCCCCCATGGCCCGGGCCGCAGCCCTCCCGCCGTCGAGATCGTTTCCGACGCTGCCGCTGCTGCCGCTCCTGCCGCTGCTCCTGCTGCTCCCAGGGACCGGTGAGAGACCACAAACACCCCCTTCCCCGCGCGGACCCAACCCCGCCCCAGCTTCTGAGTGGGGGAAGCCTGAGCTGCTTTCGCCACCCCTCCCCCAGTTCACCGAGCCCCTGTCTCGCGGGCCCCTTTCCTGACTGGCCCCACCGACTCCAACCCCCACGCACCCCATTCTCTCTCTGAGACTCCGACCCTTACCCCTCTGCATCCTTCTCATCCCCAACACCCTTCTAAATGCCAACTCCCCGACCTACACGGGACTTCCGTTACCCCCTACCCCTGCCTCAGACTCTGACGCCTGAAGGGTTAAACCCTAGGCCTCTCGCCCCCTCCCCACCCCGCGCCGTGCAGTTAATCTGGATCTGGATTTCCGTCTCCGCTTCCTCCCTCTGGAATGTCTCCCACTCCCCCCAGCAGGAGGGTCGCGTCGACGAGACGAGATCACCCTCCGTTTTTTGTTTTCCCAGGGTCGGGCATCTGAGGCCCGGGGGAGTTGAGGGCACAGGGCCAGATGTGGAGGTCCCCTGGAGAGGCAAGGATGAGAGTTGAGGAGACCTGGGGAGGGGCCTCAGGCACCTGAAGCCTCTGACTCCGGGGCTTCAAAAAAATTAGGGACTGGGAGGTTTGTCTTTTGGGCCTCAGGTAGAATGAAGGCTAGGAGCTATGTCTCCTGGTGTTCTGGTAGAATTGGGGGCAGGAGCTCCAATTTGTGGGTTTCGGATTAATTGTGAGCGGAGGGCTCTGCCTTGTGGGTCCCAGTTAGAATGGGGAGGGGCGGTAGAAGAAGCCTTATGTCGTGGGCTACAAATTTGTGGGGTGTGGGCAGGGATCCTGGGTTCTAGATTTAATCGAGGGCCAGAGGTTCTCTGCCTGGAAGCTGGAGGCTCGGCCGCCTGGGTGGACTAGGAGATGAAGTAAGAGGTCGAGTCCCGAAGGCCGGGACCTTTCCCTTTTCTTTCGAGTCGTTCGCCGGGAAGTCCCCGGGGAAGTTTTTCCGGTTTCACGTCAACCGAGCCGGAGTAGATACCCGCGGGAGCTCTCCTGGCCCCGGATTCCGGACTCCGGAGTTTCGGGACCTTATCTTTCGTCTTGTCGAGCCTTTGTCCTCGGAGCCGTGCGGGAGGTGGAAGAGGGGAGACGCCGCCCTAATCCCCGGCCCCTCCCTCTGCCTAGCCCACTAGCCCCTTCCAGTTACCCACCCCCAAACCCGGTGCGGGAGGGGCGCAGCCCCTTGTGGAGGGAGGGGCTGGGAAGAAACAGGTGTAGCAGGCTGTGGCCCCGCCCCTTGCAGGTGACCCGACTGTTTATCCCCCAACTGGAAGCTCAGGATTCTGGGTTTCCCAAGCGTTTGCCCAAGGGGGTCTTGGAGGAGCTTTGGGTCACCCCTCTGGCCTCATTTTCCCCAGCATGTCTCTGAGTTTTCTCCCAACCTTGATCCAGAGCTGGGTACTGTCTTTTCCATTCCCTGCCTCTCCCTTCTGTGTCAGAGACAGGGATGTGATCGTTTCTCACCTTTTGGCTAAGATCATCATGTGCCAAATAGGGATGTGAGGTCAGGGCCTGCTCCTTCTGGAGGAAAGCTCAGACTCCCCTTTGAATCAGGCCTCAACTTGGTGCACGATCCCATGGAATGTCGTAGATTGCCCTAAGATACAGGTCTTGTACCTGTTCCCATTTTTCGGATGAAACAGGCTCGGAAAGGGCAAGTAAGCCTCTCTCCCAGGATCCAGAGCCAGGCCCACCCTGGGAAGCCAGACTGCAGACTTCAGCTTCTCGGCCCTGCTCTACCGGGTAGGCTCCAGAAAGTGCCTCTAAGCATCCATTTCCTCCTTTGTAAAACGGATCAGAGTCCCTTTCTGGCAGGACCACTGGAGGAATTCTCAGTTCTTGCTGATCCCATGTGAAAGCTTTTAGCACCTGAGGAGGGGGCCTTCCTCTTTCCTGACTCCATCCCTGTGCCTTTGCTCTCTGCTGTCATTCTCTCTCTGCCTCTTCCCCCCTCCCTCTCTTCCTTCCTCTCTCTCTCCCCCTCTCTGTCCCTGTATCTCTCTCGCTCTCTCTCTCCCTCTCTGTCCTTCTCCCTCTTTCCCTCACAGTCTCTCCTCCATTTCTTCTCTTCATTTCTCTTTCTCTGTCCCTCATCTGTCTCCATCTCTGGGCTCTTTCTCTCTTCCCTTCTCTCCCTCCCTCTTTCCTTTCCTCCCGTCTCTATTTACCTGTCCCCAGCTGTCCGTTTCCTTCTGCTGGGCCTGCACAAATGAGGGTGCACCGCCTGGGCCTCCCGCTTTCCCTGCCCGTCCATGTCAGACAGGCCGCCCCAGTCGTGGAGGGGGATGGGAGCAGAGGGGACTGCAGGCCTGCTGTCTCTTTTCATTAGGGAAGGGAGACTGGCAAAGGGGGTGCATCCGCTCTCATACTGGGGAGAGGAGACAGGGAGAGGGATACATGGAAAGGAGAGACCTACAGGGACGAGGACAGAAGCAGACAGAAGGGAGGTGACAGAAACAGAGCAGGATGGGGGAAGAAACCTAGGAGTGGAGCCAAGAGGTGGGGGAAAGGATGAGGCGGAAAGACACTGGATGGGAGAGAGAAAGGCAGGGGAAAGGGGACTGGCAGAGACCCCAGGATAAAGGCAAAATAGCCTAAGGAGAGAGACTTAGAGGTTTGGTGGCCGGCAGGGAGCTCTAAAGAACTCCTTCTGTGACTAGTGGACGTACTGTGACCCTGGGAGGTCAGGGCACAGGTTTCTCAAGGCCAGCGGTGTGTGGGGGCCATAGGGACTGGTGGACATGGGAGGGACAGGAGCTGGGGACGCCAGCCAGCTCCCCCGCTCCTGCCTGGGACACTGTTACATTTTTAATGTCCCCAAGATACAGAGAAATGAAGCCAGAGGGGGAGGAGAAGAGGGGACCCGGTGAGATGGCTCAGGCAGGGAGAAAGTGTGTCAGAATTATGGAGAGACATGGGGAGACCCAGGAGGCAGGGAGATCACAGCATCTGAGACAAGAGACAGAGACCCCGAGAGACGTGGACCAGAAAACCTTGAGAGATCAGACATCCAGGGAGTCGCTGCAGAGAGCCAGATTCCAGAGGCTGGGAGACCCGGACCCAGCACCCCCGACACCATAGGTGACAGAGGTACAGAGGCGAGAGTATGGGAACAGCAAGGGATGTGGGTATCTTCTTGGGCTAGTGAAAACGTTCTGAAATTGATGGAGCTGATGGATGGGCAAATCTATGAAAGCACTATAAAAGCCATTGAAACCATATGCTTTGGGCAAATTTACAGTCGGGAATATATCTCAATAAAGCTGTTAGAGAGAGTAGGAGAGACACAAAGCAGAGGCCAGGGCCTCCTGGGAGACACAGGTAAGGAGGGTGAGGAGACTGTGAGAGAGACAGGTGGAGACCAGAGCCCTTGGGAGTTGGACCCACGGGGGCCAGATTTGGAACCTAAGAACCAGATGCCAAGAGAGAGACAGGACCTGAGAAACAGAAACATTTAGAGCAGCGCGTGAGGGGTTCTGTCTGAGGGGCTCCGCCAGGAAGAGCAGCCCTAGAGAGTCACCCTTAGAAAGGCAGAACCCCACAGAGGAGGCCCGCAGGGTATCACGCCCCTGCAGAAAGGGAAGGCAGGTGCAGAAGCCCAGGCTGAGGCAGACAGCCCCACACCCTGACCGCTGCTCCCCTCCCAGACTGGCTCCCGGATGTCCGCTGTGGGGGTGGGCACTGTGATTAATGCAATTAATTAATTAACGAGGTGGCTGAGGCAGCAGCTGAGGCCCGCGCTCAGAGCACGCTGGCCTTCAAGGGCCTGCTGGAGTCTGGCCTCGCCCTGTGGGAGAGGGCGGGTCACGCTGGGCTTTGTAGGTCTGGAGGGGATGAGCCAAGCCCCGCGGAGCCAGCTGGGTAGGAGCCCAGGCTGAGATCCTGCAAGCCAGCCCCCTAGCCCCCTTCTCCTCCAGGGCTCCATAAGTCACTGTGTCCCTTCATCAAAGTCACTGTGTCCCCTCTGCCTTATCTGTCCTTCTGTGGCTCTCAGGGGCTCAGGCTCAGTGTCCCTGCCCTCCAAAGATTTCCCCTGGGCTTCCATGATGTACCCCACTCTGCCACCACAGGAAACCTGCAGGCCCAGGCCACAGGGAAAGGAAGCATGTCTGGGGACCCAGCTGACACCTCAGTAAGCTATCACCGGTCTGGCCTCCTGAGGGAAGTCGGTGTTCCCACGGCCACTCTCCCCCTTGTTGTGGGGCTGGCCATGCCCTGGCCAAGGTCAGCACGAGCACCAGCCCAGGAGCTGCTAGACACGGGGGCCTCCTGGTTTTATTTCCCCTGCCTCCACCTGAATGGCAGAGCATCCAGGCACCCCCATTCCCACCCCTGCCCCGTCCCCTCACCCCCATTCCCACCCCTGCCCCGTCCCCTCACCCCCACAGCCTGTCAGCATCCGTGTCTTCCCAGCCATTCCAGCATCTGAGCGCATTCCAGTCCAGTTCGTCCTCCATCTCCATTGCCCTTACCTTGGTCCATGTGCCTCTTCTTCCCCTGGGTCCTGGCCCCACTCCATTCCGAGGGCTCTTTCTAAAGCACAAACCTAACCCCTGCCTATAACTCTCTATGGCTCCCCAGTGCCCTCAAGAAAAAGGCCAAGCTTGCATTCAGCCTCAGCCTGTGTGGTCTAGTACACTGTTGATTGCCCATCCTCCTCTCGGTCATTCACTCAACACGTCTGTGGCGCTCCCACGGTGTGCCAGGCACTGTGCTGGGCTCTGGACGTGCCGTGGGAAACCAGGCACGGAGGGCGGAGATCCCTGCCCCTCGTCCACCCCCGGCACTGATTTTCTAGTGAAGAAGATACATCAGGGGCTAGAGGGGAAAACAAAGTTTTGTTGTTATCTTAGGGTGGTAAAGACCTGGAGGAAGTAAGGGAGGGAGCTGTGGCGAAACATGCGGAAAGGGCTCTCCAGGATCAGGGAATGTGAGTGCAGAGACCCTGAGGGGGGACTTGCATCATGTGTTTGAGGAACAGTGAGGAGGGAGGCTGATGTGGCCAGAGCGGGGGGGGGGGGGGGGGGGGGGGGGGAGCCAAGCGGAGAGGGTGGAAGGTGAGGTCAGAGAGAGGATGAGCACACGCTGTGCAGGGCCTTGTGGGTCGCTGTGAAGACTTGAGCTTTTTTTTTCTGACTCAAGAGAGAGCCACAGGAGGGCTCAGAGCAGAGAGGAGGCGCTGGATCTGCTGTAGCTTCTAACAGAGCCCCTCTGGCTGCTCGTGTGACCAGACTGTGAGAGACAACTGCCATCCTCCTTGAGGGGAGTGACCCAGGAAGTAGGTGGCAGTGCATCTGACCAGGATGTGCAAGTGCAGGGGTCAGGTGCGGTCCGCTTGTAGATGTATTTTGAAGATGGAGCTGACGCAGTTCCCTGATGGATTGCACGTGGGATGAGAGAAAGGGGACTTAGGGATGACGCCACCCCTGGGATCCCGATCCTTTTACTGAAGTGGAAATGCCTAAAAGGTAGACTGTTAATGCCATAGGGACTGAGCCATCCTGTCCATTCATTCAGAATTAGAAACGTAGAATGGGAACCTTATAGCTGCAGGATCGTAGAACCTAGTGGCCCTCTGAGAGTGAGTATTGGGGATGAAAATTACCTGAGGAATCTGCCACACAAGCAACTAAAAGTAGGTGGTGGTTGTTTTAACCCTCCAAAGCCTCCCAGGTGTGGGAGGGCAGCCTCCCTTAGAAGAGAGATGGGAGCACCTTGAACCCAGAGAGGGGTGTGGGGCTCTGTGGGCCTGGACCTCAGTTTCCGTTGGAAAGGAATTGGGTCTCCTCTTCCAGGAAGCCCTCCCAGCCTCCCTCAGATGGATCAGGCCCCTGCTCTGAGTCCTTCCCCAACAGCCTTGGTGATGACTTTTTTCACTATGTGTCTTCCCCACTAGAATGTCAACTCCTGGAGGACAGGTGCCTGATTTCGCCTGGCACGTGTGTGGCACAGAGCCTGGTACTCAGTCAGCAGTGTTTACTGAGCACCTACTGCTTGCCAGGCTGAGGTGTAGGCTGTGGGGATAAGAAAGGAATAGGACAGAGAAATCCCTGTCCTCAGGCGCTGATGGTAACACCCAGGGCCTGTTTGTTGAGCCGCTATTTGGATTTGCATAGAATGGGAAAGAGCAGCCGGGGAGCACATTCTCCCAGGATCGGTCCTCTCCCCTTCACCAAAGCCCTTCAAGTTCGACACCAAGCTTCAGTCTTAACTTCTGGGTCTTTCCGTCCACACCGTTTTCCCAGGCCTTTTTGCTACCTGATAATCCACTTCGGTCCAGCTCCACCTTCCCTCAGACCCCCTTGTTTTAAGCCAAGTCGTTCTCCTACTGAGGAGACCCTCCCCGGCTCCCACTTGCCTCCAGGAGAAAGCCGGACTCTTGGCCCCACCCTACTTTGCTCTCTGTCACTCACTGGCCTGGATGTTATTTCCTGACTGAGTGTCCTCGCTTCCTCACCCCGCTAGAAAGCGGCACCGCCTTTGGGGCCTCTCATCCCACATTCTGCCTGTGGGGGCCAGGTGGGTGAAGGGTCCTGGCACCCGTGTCCTGAGGGAAGGGGATGGCCCTACTTCAGCTGCACCTAGCTGTCCCCCACCCCACCCCACATCCGTTTTTGTGTGACATTGGACATTTACTCTTCTGTACTGCTGGTTCAGTCTGAAACAACGCTGCGAGGGCCGAAAATAAATGCCAGCGAGAGCGGGCGGCTGGCCTCCCGTGCTGGACTCGGCCGTACCCAGCCGGGCGAGACTTCGGAGAGGAAGTCACTCTGTAGAGTTGTTACCAGGGGCTCTGCAGGGCAGCTAAAACATCCCCATTTTACAGATGAAGGGACAAGGTCACCCACCTGGAAAGAGCCCAAGGGAAGCCCCCAGTGGTCTGCTCCAGAGTCCCACACTCTTCTTATTTATTGATCTTAGAGAGAGAGGAAGGGGAGGAGGGGAAGAGAGAGAGGGAAAGAGAGAGACGTTGATTTGTGGGTCTACTCATTTATGCATTCATGGGTTGATCCTTGTATGTGCCCTGAGTGGGGATCAAACCCTCAACCTTGGCGCATGAGGACTTGCTCTAACCAACTGCGCTACCCAGTCGGGGCCAGTGTCCCGTGCTCTCTCTTTTTTTTATTTTATTTTTTTTTTATTTTTAGAGAAGAGAGGAAGGGAGGGAGAAAGACAGGGAGAGAAACATTAACCTGCTGCCTCTTGCACACACCCAGACCAGAGGCTGAACCCGAGACCAGGCATGTGCCTGGACCGGGAATCAAACCAGTGACCTTTTGCTTTGCAAAATGGTGCGCAACCAACTGAGCCAGCCCGGTTAGGGCCAGAGTCCCACACTCCTGAGATTATAATGCGACCCCTCCAGAAGGGAGCATCCCCTTCTCCCAAGCTAGCGCCCTTGGGTATGAGTTGTGGACGTGTGTAGGTATTTCATGAGATTGTGGGTATGTCACGAAATGGCCTTCACCGATGGCTCCCTTCCAAAAGTCCCTGGGACTGGCCCCACCTGAGAAGCTGCCTTTTGCTGGGCACCCTCTCATTAGGGTCGCCTGTTAATTTGCCCTGGGTTCCTGGGTGAGGCGAAAAGCTGGGTCAGAGAGAGCTGGGCAGCAGTTGTCCCTTGAGAACAGGGTGTGTGCCCTTGGCCTTGCCTCAAAGCTGAGTGTCAAGCGCCACTTGTAATTATACTTAGCTGGCTGTGTTTATTTAACAAGCACTGGTCTCGGATTTCCTGTGGCCTTGAGGCACAGAGAGGTTAAATGACTTGCCCAAGATCACACAGCTCTGACCTCGGAAAATTGTTAATGGTGGCAACTTGTTACTCACCCCACCATTCTTTTACATTGTTTCTGTAAGTGCTGATTCTGACTAATATGTAGCTTGTAGATAACAGCATGTTTGTATAAGAGTCCTAGGAACTAACTTCCAAAGATACAGACTCTGACCCTCAGGCATCCCAGCTCTGAGAGATTTGTTGACCTTCAACCCTGGAGCCAGGATGACATATAGTCAAGAAGACGGGAATCCAGGAATTACTAAACCGGGATGACTAAACCAGCAGTTGCCTTATTGGAATGAACTGTGCTAGTCTGACATGTAGAGAACTTTTCAACCCCCTCCCCTGATTTCTCCGTTCTGTCCCCCTCTCCCTCCTTATAAAAACCTCTACCTCCACTGAGACGTGGAGATGGGCTTAGCCGCTGTCTTCCAGATGGCCGGCATCTGAATAAACCACTCCCCTTTACACCAGCGCCTGCCTCTTGAGTATTGGCTTTCATAGTGGCAGGCAGCCGGGCCCCCTTTCCGCCACACAGCGTGCAAGTCCTGGGAGAGCCAGGATTCAACCTTGGGCAGTCTGGACCCTCGGTGGCCATGCGGTACTGCCTGGCACAGCAGAGAAACATTGTCTTTCTTCCCAGTTTTTATGAAAAGCGAGAAAACAAAAGATAAACTGAGAGACAAAAATATACGTTGACATAAAAACTTGTACTCAAGAGTACACATTCACAGCAGCTTTATTCATAATTGCCCAAAAGAAGAAGAAAATGCCATCTACCCAGATAGTGGAATATTATTTGGCCCTGAAAAAGGATTCAAGTGCTGGAGATGCTACGGCGTGGATGAACCTTGAAAACATTATGCTGAGTGAATTAAGCCAGCCACAGAAGGCCATGTGTTTACATGGAATGCCCTATAGAGACAGAAAGATTAGTGATTGCTAGGAAGTGACAGTTTAATGGGTACAGCAATTTCTTTGGGGGGTTATAAAAATGTCCTAAAATAGATTATAGCAGTACATTCACAACTCAAGTGAATATACAAAAAGCCACTGAATTGTACACTTTTAGTGGATGAATGGGAATTATATCTCAATCAGCCTAGGTTAATAAAAAGATAGGCTAGGAGAGCTTTAGTTTTATAGAAAGGTGAGGGAAGATACCTACCTTACTGTGCAAAGAAAGGATGAAGACAATCCTCACATGTGAAATTTTTTTAAACATTTATTTTGCGATAGGTTTTTAGTTGTTTAATTGATTTTGTTTCAGAGGATTGTTTTTCCTTCCAACGTCTGGTAAGAAAATATTTCAAACATACATGAGTTGGGAGAATGGCCCCTCCGCCACCTACTACCCTGGACAGTGGGTCGCATTTTGCCACATTTGCTCCATCGCTTTTTCTATACCTTTTTTTGGTGTTTGCTGAGAAAATGTTTGAGAGCACGTTGCAGACAGGACATTTCAACCCTTTATCTTCTAAGAAAAGGGAATACTGGGTAACCGTAATTGCTTCATAACATCTAAAAATATTAACAATAATTCCATACTATATAACATAGTCCAGACTCAGGTGTCCCTAGTGTTCCTCCAAATATCTTTTCTGGCTGGCCTTTTTGGAACTGGAACTTCGAGAAGGCTCGCGCACTGCATTTGGGGCCTGTGTTTTCCCATGGGGCCCCCTCAGTAACGGCCCTGCCCAGCCTAGAGTATCTGGGTCCTTCCCCCACCCGACCTCTCTCTTTGCTCTCTCCCCAGGAGCCCAGGATGGGCAAGTTCAAATGCCACCTGAGGTGCGGGGCCGCCTGGGGGAGACAGTGAAGCTGCCATGCCACCTACTGTCACAAGGACCTAAAGTCAACGTCTCACAGGTGACGTGGCAACGCCTGGAACCATCCGGGAAAACCCAGAGTGTGGCCGCCTTTCACCCTTCACATGGTCTCAGCTTCCCCAGCCCGCAGTTCAGCAGCGAGCGGCTATCCTTCCTCACCATGGGGCAGAGCCCCGGGGCCAGGCCAGGCTCGGAGATGCAGGACGCCACGCTGGTCCTCCAGGGGCTGAGAGTGGAGGACGAGGGCAACTATTCCTGCGAGTTTGCCACGTTCCCCCAGGGCACCAGTCGTGGGGTGACCTGGCTCAGAGCCATAGGTGAGCAGGGTCGGCGGGGGGGCAGGGAGGCGGGAGAGCGGCCTTGTGAGTCCATTTCTCTCTGCTTTCTCCGCAGTCTTCAGTTAACTGGCAAATATTCATTAAGCACGTGCTGTTTGCCAGGGGCTGTTCTGCAAGCTTTGGGTACAGCAGGCAACAAGGCATTTGACAAATATATTCTGAGGCCCTACTGTGTGCCAGGAGCTGTTCTAGACTCTAGGGATAAAGCAGTGAGTAAATAAAAATAAGAAAAAGAAGAGCGAGTCAGGTGGTTATAGGTATTACGGAAGCTGGAGCAGAACGGGCCACAATTTTAGCCAGGGCGGTCTGGTGATAGTTGAACAAAAACTGGAATGAGGTCAAGGACCCCTGCAGGTCTGTCTAAGGGAAGAGAGTTCAGGCAGAGGCCCTGAGGCAGGGAGCACCTGGACTAGCTGAGGAAGAGCCGAGAAGTCTGTGCAGCTGGAGGTGCGTGAATGGGGAAAAGTAGGAAGGGGCAGGGTCCAGGAGGGGATGGATCGTAGACAGCCTCGTAGACCACGTGCAGAGTCTGGCTTTTGACCTAGGAGAACAAGAGCTATGGAAAGTTCTGGGCAGAGAACAGTGTGATGGGACTTGGGTTTTCATAGGCTCCTTCCAGCTGCACATAGGAGGCAAGGGTGGAAGCTGGGAGGCCTCAGAGGAGGTGACTGCATACGTCCAGGTAGGAAGTGATGACGACTAGACCAAGGCAGAGGCAGTGGCGGGGGAGGGGGTAGAAGTATTTTCGAGGTAAAGCCAGAGGATAATCAGATTAGTGGACGAAGGAAACACCAGAATGTTATATCACTCATAGTAAGAGACCTTATTTTTTTTAGATTTTTTTAAAAAGATTTTTTTTAAGTATTTTATTTATTTATTTTTAGAGAGAGGAAGAAAGGGAGAAAGAAAGGGAGAGAAACATCGATGTGTGGTTGCATTTCACGTGCTCCCTGCTGGGGGCCTGCCCCCGCAACCCAGGCCTGTGCCCTACACTGGGAATCGAACCAGCGACCCTTTGGTTTGCAGGCTGGCGCACAATCCACTGAGCCACACCAGCCAGGGCTGCTGCTGCTGCTGCTGCTTTTTTTTTTTTTTTTTTTTTTTAAGCTCTTATTTATTTATTTTTAGAGAGAGTGGAAGGGAGAAAGAAAGAGAGGGAGAGAAACATCAATGTGTGAGAAAACATCTATGGGTTGCCTCTCACATGCCCCCAACCAGAAAACCAGCCTGCAACCCAGGCAGGTGCCCTGACTGGAAATCGAACTGGCAACCTTTTGGTTCACAGGTTAGTGCTCAATCCACTGAGCCACACCAGCCAGGCCCCAAGAGGCCTTATTTAGATAGAATGGTCAGGGAGAGCCTCTTAGTCAAGTCCTGAAGTACAGGAAAGCCACCCGTGGGCATGCAGCCACGAGCAGAGGAATGTATACACAGGCAGAGGGAACGGCACATGCAAAAGCTGGGATGTGAGCACGAGCTTGGCACGTCCCAGGAACAGAAAGGAGGCTGGGGAGGCTGATGGCCAGGACTCGAATGACCCTCAACAAGGCAGGAAAACCAGCAGCGCCGGGCTTGCGTGGGCCTCCTAGGCCGAGGCAAGGGGGCTGGACTGCATCCGGAGTCATTGGAAGTGTTCAGACCACAAGAGCACCCTGATCAGAGTGTTGAAATTATTAAAAGACCAAACTGGGGGGAGGGCATTCAAGGGGACGACAAAGGGCTATGAAAGCTGGGAGGCCAGATGAGAGAAGGCATTGCCTTGGAAGAGGTGGAAGCAGCGGAGGGGTGGAGAGAAGAGAGTGGAATATACGCTGCTTTTAGGCGAGAGCAGGCGCTTGTCTGTGCACTGAAGGAGGAAGGTCAGGAAGGACTCCCAGCCTCTGGCTCCAGCACGAGGGTGACTGGCACAGCCACTCGCTGGAATGGGGCAGAATCGGGGGAGGCGTTTTTCAAAGGATGCTACCTCTTGCTAAATTTCGGCACCCCCCTGGAACCCCACCTTTCCTCCGTGACTTCCCAGAAGCCATGTCACTCTGGGCGCTGCTTTCCCCCTCTCGGCCCCAGAGAGTTTGAGAGGTCTACCCTTTACTATTGCGTAAACACTTCTCTTTTTAAGGAGCTGAAAGTACAGTGGTGTCACATAAATCAACTCAAAACTCTTCTCCCCCGACCCTCTGCCAAGGTCTCTTGTTTTTTTTGTTCTGTTCAAGAGATACACAGAGGGCATGAGAGGGGGCAGCCAAACCTCTGCTTTCCTGAATGGAGCCAGTGCCACTATCGAGCAAGAGTCAGGTGTCAGGAAAGTTCCCTTGAGGAAGTGAGGCTGGGGAAGGAAGGAGAGCGAGCCAAGGAGAAGGGACGCCAGGGCATGTCAGGCGTAAGGCGTAAGGCGTAAGGCGGCCACGACCCCACAGTGGGTTAGGAGCAGGGGCGGGGCGGGGGGCTGGAGTTCCTGGAGCGGTCGGAGGACAGATGGGAGGGGGAGAGCGACCACGAAAGATGTGGGGAGGCCCACCCGAGGCTGTGGGGGTCAGGGGAGAAGGGGGAAGAAGAGGAAAGGAGAGGAGGGCTATACCACGTTAGGAAGCTCAGGAGATACCCAGACGGCGAGGCCCGGAAGGCAACCGGAGATGTCAGAGCTCAGGAGACAGTCTGATTATGGACACACGTCAATAACTATGGGTTGGCACTGTTCCTCATGGAGGTTTTTATTCCTCCTAATGGTTTTCCATGTTTCCTTTTTTTTTTTTTTTTTTTAATTCACTGATTTGAGAGAGAGAGAAAGGGCAGGGCGGGATCGGGGGGGAGGAGGAAGACCAATTTGTTGCTCCCCTCATTTATGCATTCCTTGTTTGATTCTTGAATGTGTCCTGACCGGGGATTGAACCTGCAACCTTGGCGTATCAGGACAATGCTCTAACCAACTAACCTACCTGGCCAGGGCATATTCTTCCATGTTTTCCAAGAGGATGGTTGAAGAGGGCAAAAATATTACAAGCTTTGGGTTTCTTTACTGCTTTTATCCCGCTTCTGCCACCCCAATCTCATGGTCATTAGAGGAAAAGGAGTATCCACTTGAGTTGGACCCCTGAACCACATTATTTTGCTTTAGCTTTTCTTTTTAAATCCCAGCCTCTTCCAGGCTTTTGGACACTCTGCTTTTCTAGCAGAGCAGAAAAGATGTAATGGCTATATGCTATAATGGCTAACACTTGGGTAGAATAGTGATTGCTAGGCACTGTTCAGTTTATTTGGGTATCTGTTTAGTCCCTACAACAATTCTGTGGAGTGGGTACTTTTATTATCCCCACTTTACAAAAGGGAAAACTGAGGGTCAGAGTTGGGAAATTACTTGCCCAAAGCTATGCAGCCGCTAAGCAGCAGAGCTGGGATCGGGACCCAGGCATGCGGGGCTCTGCTGCTGACGTGTTTGTTGAATGTCCGCAGGTGGGGAGTGACCACCCCCTCTGTTCTCCCCCCAGTCCAGCCCCAGAACCAGGCTGACGCGCAGGAGGTCACCCTTGGCTCGGAGCCTGTGCCCGTGGCCCGCTGTGTCTCCTCAGGGGGCCGCCCACCCGCCCGGATCTCCTGGTTCTCGCCACTGGACGGAGAAGCCAGAGAGAGCGAGGTGTCAGGGCCCCTGTTCGGCACAGTCACCGTCACCAGCCGCTACGCCGTGGTGCCCTCGAGCCAAGCAGATGGTGTCAAGGTCACCTGCAAAGTAGAGCACGAGACCTTCCAGGAGCCGGAACTGCTGCCTGTGATCCTCTCTGTGCGCTGTGAGTGCGTCAGGATGGTGGCTGCACCCCTCACCCTGTCCGCCTTGGCCTCTCTAGGCCACCGTCCGCGCTGTCCCTGACGGTGGCCTGCCTGGGCTCTGGGCCGCGTTCTGCACTGCCTGCCTGCCCCTTGCCGGTACTGCGACACCGGCTCCCCCAGGCGACACCCGCCCGCTGCCCCTGCGCTGTCTCCACTGGCTTCATGAGGCCCCTCCCTGCGGCCACCCTCCGTGGTACACTCTGCCCCCAACAACAGCTTCTCTGGCTCCTTCACTCTGTATCAACTCCTCTGAGTGTCCCTTGCCCAACCCAACAGCATCTACACACACACCCATTCACACTGTTTATGTTCACTCCTGGGTCCTGTTGACCAGTTCCTGCCCCCCAAAAGGATTCCTCTCAGCCTCCCCAGGCCCTGTCAGTGCTGACCCCTTCCAACGGGTTCTACGCTAGCGCCTCCCAACGCCGCACACACTGGCAGCCCCTAATATCACCCGAGAGGCTGCCCTGGCACTCTTCCGACGGGCCTGCCCCCGGTACCTTTACGATCAGTCACCCTGCAGACACACCCCAGACCCCAGTATTTTGTTAAAGATTTCATTTATGTATTTTTTAGGGAGAGCGGAAGGGAGGGAGGGAAATACCGATGTGCGCAAGAGAGATCAATCGGTTGCCTCTTGCCCACCCCCGGCTGGGGACCTGGCCCACAACCCAGGCACGTGCCCTGACTGGAGATTGAACTGGCGACCTTTTGGTTCGCAGGCCAGCGGTGCTCAGTCCACGGAGCCACACCAGCCGGGGCCGTACCCCAGCATTTTTTACCCTGCCCTCCAGGCGATGCCTTCTGTTAAACCAAGGTTTAATTAGACTCCCTTATCTGCTCTGGGCGTGTTGGAAATAACACACACCGTCTAGAGTGGCTCCCTGAGGTACTGCCTGCACTGAAAAAATAAACTTGCTCACAGTGATCCGAGTGGTCTCTGAACAGCGTCTGCACTGGCCTCAACAGACGCCACGGCGCAGACCGACCTGCCCCTGACAGTTTCCATGGGGGTCCCCTCCTGCCAGCCCCTCCCATTTCTACAGGATTCCTTCTATCTGCTCAGCTATCAGCCCCTTTGGGATTCTCCCGCCTCTGAGCCAGTCCCCCCCATTTCCTCCAGACCCCCCCGAGGTCTCCATCTCCGGCTATGATGACAACTGGTACCTCGGCCGCAGTGAAGCCACCCTGAACTGTGACGTCCGCAGCAACCCAGAGCCCACACGCTATGACTGGAGCACGTGAGTCCTGGGTGGGCCTCGATTCGTAGGTCTGAGGGAGGAGGGGGCTGAGGGCCTTGACCATGAGTCCACCAAAAGGAGGCAGCTGGCAGTTGGGGGTCTCAAGAATTACCGTTAGGTCCCTGGAACTTGGCTCCTGAGGGCTGCGTCATCAGGGACCAGGCCAGTGCTCCTCTGTGGACCCTGCTGCTCCCTCATGTGACCTCCACACCCCCCAGGACTTCAGGTGACTTACCAGCCTCAGCGAAAGGCCAGGGTCCCCAGCTGATCATCTACTCGGTGGACAGACTGGTCAACACCACCTTCATCTGCACTGTCACCAACGCCCTGGGCACAGGCCGTGCCGAGCAGGCGGTCCTCGTTCGAGGTGAGCGGGGCTCGGGGGCGGCACGTGACAACCGGGTCATTCCTCTCTTTTGGCTCTGGGGCTGCGTTGAGGGGGAGGCTATGTCGCCGGCTGGGGTGGGACCCAGACCCGCATCACTGATGGGAGAGGAGGGCACTGTGGCTTTTCTCTCTTGCCCCCAGGTGGGATCTGGATGGGGATGACAGGGTAGGTGTTGGCAGAGGAGTTTTAGAGGCCGAGGCATGTCCTGGCAGCTTCCTGGAGAGTAGGGCCCGGGAAGGGTCTTCAGAAAGAGACACAGGGACGTGCCCCAGGCTCCAGACAGTGAGGCACACCCGCAGAACCACACAGCTCCCACAGAGATACACGTCAGGTAGCCAGACAGAAAGGAACAGAAACGCGGATTTCTTACGGGGAATGCTGGGCATTACCATCTGGATGCTGCTTTCAGTGCATGTTGGAACATTTGTGTTTCTGGAGTTGGTAATTAGTAAAGTGTGAAATGGGTCTGTGGGTAGAAAGTTCTCCGAGTCTCCTTGATGTGAACTCAAAAACATGGAGCCAGGGCACATAGCCGGAGAGGAAAAGAACAAAGGCAAACTGAGCTAGCGCACAGGCTGACGGAAACGGGGTCAAGATCGCAACTTTAGACCCACACGCCTGGAGGGAGGCAGAGACCGTTACAGGGCCGTGCTCCCCGAGACTCAGACACCCCCTGACCCCATGGCTGGGAACAGAGTCCCCTTCCTGTCAGAGCCATAGCCAGGAGGACCCCCATCTACAATACAGGGACTCCCTGTGCTTCGAGATGCGCAGGAATCAACAGACTCGCCTCTAACGTAACCGACACACCCCACTGTCACCGTGACACACAGCCCAAGAGGGCAGGGGCACCAGCCAAGACACCGAACAAAGCCAGACAGCAACCAGCCAGAGCCCGAGAGTCTGGGAAACACCCTCCTAGCATGCCTCTCTGTGACACACACCTGTGCAAACACGACACGGGAACCATGGCCTGACAGCTGCACAGACGGGTGGAGACAGACATACCCCTGCAGCTAGAGACAGATGGGAGCAGACCCCCTTGCTGATACAATCTCACACCACACACACATCTAGACATGACACCCGAGTTACAACAGGCCCCTCTTCAGGAATGCAGACACCAGGGCGATATGATGGACCTACTCAGAAACACTGTCACAGCAACACACGGAGAGGGACAGCTGGCCTGCCCTCAGCATGTTGTCACACTCGGGTCCACAAATGAGCACACCTGAACGGAGACACGATTGTCAGACGCGCCGGCCAGGGAAAGGACCATGAGAATCAACAATTCGCACGTGGTTACATCTTCACTCATACAGAGGCTGAGAAAGTCCACGACAGTCTCGGGGTGCACACCCTCAGAAACTCTCCAAAAACCCCGTTACAGAGATTCTCTTTCAACAAATAGTCATCTGACAAATACTTGTTGATATTTCCTCTTGGCTGGGCTTTCTCCTTAACGCAGAGAACACTGTGGTGGATGAGGCACAGTCCCTGCCTTCAAAGGCACACCCAGAAAGCTCAGCCCCACCCACCTAGCATGGCACCCAACTGGAAATACACCCCTGAACCTCTAACCCAGAAACATACCCGAGAAACGGGTCCCCACCCACACTCTGTCAGTAGGCACTTCCAAGGGGTGCCGCCTGCAGAACACAGATGCAGTCACCCTTGAGGGTCATTGGAGGGACACAGAGTCACAAAAATATGCTCCCCAAACACACACACACACACACACACACACACACAGAAATGCCAAGGTTGTCCGCCAATGTGAACACATCAGCTCCACAGTTCAGCCCCTTGCTGGTATTCACCCAGTGAAACACACACTCAGAGGCCCGTCAAGAACTAGGGTACCGTGGGCTGTACACAGAGTCACACCCCCAGAGAAAGGCTGAACACTAAGGAAAGACACCCCCTCCCGCTGCCTGGCCCAAAGGTAACCACAGACCCACCCACAGTCAAAAACATCATCACAAAAATGCACCTACAGGTAGACGCCAACAGAAACAGGAACAGAAGTCCAGACCCAGGCTGTGAGTTTGCCAACAGAGAGCCTCGCCCAGAGAGAAAACTCCCCGCTCCTGGCAGAGTCGCTCCCCAAGGGTCTCAGCGACGCAGACACCGCGTCCCCCAAGCATGCAGACCCAGACATGCTGTCACAGACATAGTCTGGGGTTCACAACAGTGTAGGCGCGGTGCGCCGCCACACCACAGGCGCGACGTCACTTCAGGGAGATTTCGGTGATCTCCCAACCCACGGACACTGGGACACTCACCTGCTGTCTCAAAATACCACCCCCAGAAACAGACAAACATGTTCCAACAGGCACTGAGGCCAATTTCCCGACGCTGTGGACGAAGTCTGCTTCATGCCCCCACCTAGTGTCCAGGGAAAGACAAATATTTCCCCCCTAAAAAGGTGCACAAAATAGTGCTTACCTCTCATACTTAAGGTACACTTTTTCTACTTTTTTCACTAGTGCTTGTGAGTCACTAAACTGACTTGACAGCTTACTGGGTCTGGACCCCCTTTTTGAAAACACCCAGGAACCGATGCCCTCAGGACCTAGGGCCGGCCCCTTCTGTGTGCAGAGGTGGGGGTGGAGGGGAGGCTCTGGTGTAACTGGATCCCTCTGGTCTCTCCCCCAGGCCCACTGCCTGCAGGGGGTGGGGGTGGGGAGAGGGACTGTGTGATAAGGTTCCCATTGCATCAGGTCTGTCCCTGGTGTGGGGTCCAAATGCCCCCTCCCTCATTCTTACACCTCCCTCCTCAGTCCTCCCTGGCTTCCTTCTCGGCCCTGCCCCAGCTTCCCCCTCCTGTTGAGCCACAGCAGGGAGCACTAGCGGGTGAAGGGACAGCGGGCTTCCTGAGCCCCAGCAATGGCCCAGACCAGGTGCTCCCAACGCTCGATGCGGGGAGTTCTCCAGAGGTCCCTTGCCCTTCTCAGTCCTCCTCCTCTCAAGCGCGGGGAGCTTGGGAGTCAGACCGCCTCCCGTTCATAGCAGGAGGCAAGTCTCCCTCCCCGGCTCGATCTGCCCCAGGATTTCATGACCGCGACCTCAGAGCTCCTCCTCAAGGGCTCACACACACACACCCACTGGGTCCTGGCAAATGACCTGGTGGTCACGTGTGGAACTCTGTTCCCTTCCCAGCCACCAGCCTTCACTTGGCTATAGCCCATCACCAGGTGGAGGACGTGAGGCCCTGGTGCTGCCAGATCTGTTTTCCCCCTAAATGAAATCTGGAATTTTCAGTGAAATCACCTGGTTTTTGAAACGTTGTCTAGCAAGTTTAGTAGCACCGGGCAGGTGAAAGGGCACAGCCGGGGGCTCCAGCCGGCAGCAGAGCGAGTCGGCTCTCCCCACCCTCGCCGTTAGCCCCGCCGGAGGCATCTCCTTAATTCCTGTCACTGCCCCCTCAGTGGCCCCCCCCCCAGATGTATCCTCTTGACCGCGTGTCTCCCTTTCTCTCTCTCTCACCCTCCTCTCTCCTCAGACACCCCCAGGGCCTCTCCCCGAGACGAGGGTCCAATGGTGTGGGGGGCCGTGGGGGGGACACTGCTGGTGCTGCTGCTTCTGGCTGGGGGGTCCTTGGCCTTCATCTTGCTGAGGATGAGGAGGAGGAGGAAGAGCCCTGGAGGAGGAGGAGCAGGAGGAGCAGGAGGAGAAGGACGAGACAGCGACGGAGGATCCTACAATCCGAAAACTCAAGTGTTTGAGAATGGGGGCCCCGTCTTCTGGACCACAACCACCCCTGGTCCCCTGAGGCCGGACGGCAAGGACTCGGAAGAGGGCTATGAGGAAGAGGAGGAGAAGGCAGAGAAAGGCCTCATGTTGCCTCCCTCCCCGGCGCTCGAGGACGACATGGAGTCCCAGCTGGACGGCTCCCTCATCTCCCGACGGGCGGTTTATGTGTGACCCCCGAGACAGACAGACAGACAGACAGACAGAGACAGAGCCCACCAGTGCCAGCCAAGGGTTCCAGACTGGTTGGACTCGTTTGTCCGGGTGACACTGGAACTCAGATGCTACCTCCCACTTTCCTGGGATGCAGAGGGAGGTGGAATATTCACACACTGGACTTACGCCTCCAGGGCCGCGTGGGGGAGGGGAAAGGGGCCCACAGAGGGGCGCCCCCGTCCCCGCCAGACTTGGTTTTGGCTCTGGTCTGCCCCAGCCCCTGCCTTGTGACACTCAGGAGTTAATAAACGCCTTGCAGGAAAACATCGGGGGTGTGTTGTAATACACTGGACCCCCTTGTTGCGGGGGGGCGGGGTAGGAAGAGCTGAACTTGACTCCAGGCCATGGGAGCCTGGCGGGGCTGGCCTTGGGGAGGTTGGGGGGCTCTTACCATTTGGGTCCTTGAAGGACCCGTTGATGCTGAGACCCCCGAGGCTGGTGAGATTGGGATCCGGGCTTAGAGGCTGCCGTGCTTAGACTCAAAGGTTCCAGGCTGCCTCCCGGGTGCAGCAGCCACTCCAGCGGGAGGCCGGGCTGCTGGGCCCCGCAGGCGGCCCAGGGCCCGATCCTGGGTGGGGCGGAGAGGTGGGCGCAGCTCAGGCCCGACCTCCCCTCCCCAAGGCTGCTGAGGACGGGGCGCAGGGCAAGCGGGGCTGCTGAGAAAACAGGAAAGTCCCACCTCTCCACACCTCAGTGGCCTTTCCCAGCCTCCTTCCTCTTTCTTTTTCCCTGGGGGCCCCACAGCTAGAGGGAATTTTGGTGATTGAGAGGGAGGGGCTGCAGCTCAGTAGCCCACGTAATCCCACCAAACCCAGGCTGGGGGCCAGGTGGCCGCATGGGTGAGGCAGGGGTAAATCCCAGGCACCACTTGTGCCCCCCACCCCGCACGGCCGCCCTGTGGGCTTGGTCTCTGCTCCCGAGGCCGCCACTCTGTAGGCAGAGCTCCAGTGCCCAGCCTGGGCCAAGCGGCCGGGCAGGGCTTGGTGAGTTTACTTCTCCCAATTTTGATTTCCACTAAACCGCTGGGGACAGCGGTAACTAGGGCAGACATAGCCCTGCCCTCCCAGGGACGCAGTCAGCAAGGACGACAACAGTAACAGTAATTTCAGGGTGGCCGGGTCTGGGCTGAACGGCAATTACTCTGCTACTCTCCCACGCTCAAACCCTCCCGAGAAGGCCGGCCGTGGAACAGGAAGCGTGGAAATCAGGACAGTCCAGGGATCCAGACATGGTTCCTTGGGAGGCTTTGTCTCCTGATCTCCGAAGTGGACTTCATGGACCAGTGAGGGTGAAGCCTGTGGATGGGGCTTTTGCACGCGATATTTCCTCTGGTTGTTTATTGTCTGTACCACTCCCTCCCATCCCCCGCCCCTTCTCCCCACCACGAGAGGGCAGGGGCGGGAATTTTGTCAGACTGGCATATAATAGGTCCTGAGCGCCTGTGCCCACCCCTCCTTACACATCTAGCAGAGCCAGCCTGCCCTTTGGAGCTCACAGCCTAGTGTGGAAATTGGCAAGTGCAGAGGTAATTGCTCCAATAACAACTTTAGGAAGTGCAAAGTGCTACACAGGAGAAGCCCAGGAGGCCATGAGCTTCTCTCAAGCCATTTCCTGTTAGGTTGGAGGAGCCTGACCCTCTGCCCAGGATGACTCCCTTCCCTGTAGTGAATGAGGGTTGTGATCCCAATCCCAGAATCCCCCCTCAATTCTCTGCCTTTTAGATCCACTCCCCTCCCCACCACTTCCCTCCCATCCTCTCCCGCCTCTGCACTTCCCCTCATCACTCTGCTCCTGCTGTTTCTTAAAAACAACACAAAGCTTCCTCCTCAGGGCCTTTGCACTGGCTGCCACCGCTCTCTGCCCGGAATGCGCTCATGCTCTCAAGACTCACCCCGTACAGCGTCTTCAGGTTTTTGCTCAAATGTCACCTTGTAGTAAGGCCCTCTGACTACCTGCTCTGTCACTTCCTGTCACCTTCCCCACTGTGTAGTTTTCTTGTACATCAATTAATGCCACTTGGCATATTAGCTCTCGTAGTTGTTTCTGTACTGCTGGTCTCCCTGCCCAACTGGAACCTGAGTTCCATGGAGGTGGAGACTTTTGTATGTTCGTTCACCACTCTGTCCCACAAAAAGTGCTCGGTAAGGAGTAGCTAAACGAAGGACTGTCTGCCCCCTGCCTTTGAGGTGGACAGATGGGTGGTGACTTGGGGAGGTGGGCAGGGAATAAGGGGCTGTGGCTTCCTCATGGAGATCCCCTTACACTGTCCCTCTTCTTGCAGAGTCCCCCAACACAGCAGGTGCAGGGGCCACAGGTGGCATCATCGGGGGCATCATCGCTGCCATCATTGCTACTGCTGTGACCGCCACAGGCATCCTTATCTGCCGGCAGCAGCGGAAGGAACAGAGGTTACAGGGGGCAGAGGAGGAGGATGAGTGAGTAATGGGCAGGGGGTCCCAGAATTGGGGAGCCTGGGCTGGGGGTCGGGGGGTGGGGAGAAAGTCATCCCTAATGGCTGTGTGAAACACAGACACTCAAAACAACTATGACTTATGTAGCGTGGAGAGGAGAGTTTATTTCTGGCTCATAAAGCATGGGTATGACAGCCCTGCTCTGTGAAGTTACCAGAGCCCAGGCTCCTGCTATCTTGTTGCTCCACCTTTGCTCACATTTCAAGATAGCTCTTCTCTCATTACTTACGTATCTGACAACCAGACATGGCTGTCCTGGCCTCAAAGCCCTAGTTCCTGCCAGTGGGAAAAGGAAATAGATATGGAGGGTACTCAGCTGCCCTTTAAGGGAACCCATCACTTCTCACTTCCATTGGCCAGAACATGTCACATGGCTGTCCCCAGAAGCAGGGGGAGCTGGCAAATGTAGTCTTTATTCTTTATGGTGGCATGTGCCCAGCTAAAATCTTTATTAGCGTCAGAAAGGAGGAGCCTAGATATTGGGGAAAACTAGCCACACTTCTCTGTTTATAGCACTTGTTATGTGCCAGGCTTGGCAAGGTATATTTTTACATGTGTAACTTCAACAAAGCCTCACATCTATTCATCGACTCAACAAGTATTCAAAAAGCACCCTCACAGAGCCAGGACAGGCCCTGGACATTAGGAATACAATGACGAGACAAACATTTAAGAAGTGTCCACACAAATAAATATATCATGGAAACATAAATTCTTACAGGGAGCTAATAACCGTTCATGAAAGAAGAAACAGGTTCAAAGAGCTGAGATCACTTGCTGAAATTCATCCAGCAAATAAGCGTTTTGAGGGCAAAAGGGCTCTGAAATAACACTAACCAGTGGGAGGCGGCATGGGAACACTCCTAAAAAATGCATATTCCTGGACCTACACCAAACTCACTAAATCAGAACTTTTACAAGGATTCAGAATCTGTATTTGTAACAAGCTCCCTAAGTTATTCTGACGACCTAGTCAATGCAAAACGACAGCTTGTTATCCATCTGCTCCTGTGCCCAGCCAATGCTGTGACCCAGCGATGCCTGAGGTGGCCCTGGCCCTGCCCTCTGGGGGTTCACAGTCTGGAGGAGACAGACGGTACCCAGGCGATGATGGTCCCGCATGGCCAGGGATGGGCTAGGGAGCCTGAGGGAGCTGTGAGAGGCCACAGGGTCATGGAAGGCCTCCTGGAGGGGGGGTATCTGAGTTGGGTATTGAAAGCATATTAAGCACCTATCATTATTACGTATTCAGGGTGCTCTGGTCTGTGGGTATGTAGAATGAGGGAACTTAACATAGCTTGAAGGATAGGAAAGCATTTCATTCATTCACTCATTCATTCATTCACTCATTCATTCTTTTAACAAATATTCACTGAATTCTTCATAGTGGATTCTGGGAATATCTTGTTGAACAAAGATGTCATTTTCTCCCTCACATTGCTCACAGTTGGGTACAATCATTGACTGACCTCAGAAAGAACATTTCAGATACAAACCAGTTGCGCGCCTGAGAGGGAGGTATACTGCTCGATGTGACCATGTAACAGGAGATCCTGATCCTCCTGGAGAATCAGGGAGGCTTCCTGGAAGAAGATTCATGGGATGAGTAGGAGTTAGCCGGGCAGGGGGAATGGGGTGGTGGAAAGGGATACCAGGCAGAGGGGAGAGCTTGCGCACTGGCCCCAGGGTAGGAGGGCTTCTCGGGTCTGAGCCTCCACCCGACCTACCTCCTACCCCACAGCCTGGAGGGGCCTCCCTCATACAAGCCGCCCACCCCAAAGACAAAGCTGGAGGAGCGAGAGATGGTAAGCGCTTTGCCTGGAGCCCAGGCCGCCCCCGCCTCCATACCCACCTTTCCCCAGCAAGGCCAGGGCTGGGAGGAGGGGGCTGCAGGGAGGGGCCGGCTGTTCTGGGAGTCCTGACCTGCCCCACCCCCTCCCACTGCAGCCCTCCCAGCTCTTCACTCTTGGGGCCTCAGAGCACAGCCCACTCAAGACCCCCTACTTCGATGCTGGTGTCTCAATCGCTGAGCAGGTAGGAGTTCTTGGGAGGAGGAGGCTGGGTTCAGTTTAAGGGCCTGGGGTCAGTCCCTGACATAAGAGATCAAGCACTAAAGGTCACAATTCAGGTTCAGAGTTATATCCCTGGTCAGAGCTTAGGGCATTGAGATGTGTTTAGAATTCAGTGGGGGAGGTCATGACTGAAAAAGTCCAAGGACATGAGGTTAGAGTATAAAGTCACTCGGTCCATGAAGATTGGTCGAACATCCACATTGTCTAGATGCTGTAGGACAAGACAGTCACTCCCCTTGGCGGTCTACTGGAGGTCACAGGTCAGAAATTGAAGTTGTGACTAGTCAAGGCTAAGGGGCTATTTCAGGCTTAAGGTTAAGTAGTTGAGATCAAGATTGAAGATAAAGGTTCATGGGGAAAGACCTGGGGTCAAGAATCAAAAGACAAAGTGGAGACCGAGGATTTGACAGGGTGAGAGTCCATGCTCTGGGCTTTAAATTAGGGACAAGCCATATGATTGGCCCAGTGCATTATTGACCCAGGTGACAAGGGGTGAGATTGGGTCTGGTCGCCATGGGCAGATGGTCGGGATTTTGGAGTCGGGGGCAGACTGGGATTCTCTGCCATGCTCAGGAGGTGACCTTGGGCTCCTATTCCCGCCTCGCCCCCAGGAAATGCCTCGGTACCATGAGCTGCCCACCCTGGAAGAGCGATCGGGGCCCCTGCTCCTGGGAGCCACGAGCCTGGGGTCCCCCATCCTGGTGCCTCCAGGGCCGCCTGTTTCAAAGAGGGTTTCCTTGGACCTAGAGGATGAGGATGAGGATGAAGAAGACTACCTGGACAAGATCAACCCCATCTATGATGCCCTGTCCTACTCTAGCCCCTCTGATTCCTACCAGAGCAAAGGCTTTGTCATGTCCCGGGCCATGTATGTGTGAGCCAGCATGGCCCTAGCCTCTCACCTCTCACTCCTTTATGCCTCGACTTTCTGCCAGGGGTGTAGTGCCCCCTGACCTCTGACCCAGCCACACGCATGTTATCTGTGAGTTCTACCTTAGTGGCCCCATCATGACCTCTAACCCATGATCTCTGACCCAGAGAAACCGGCCATGACAGTGGAAACCTGGCAACCTTCTCTTGAGTTGGAAGGGATGGGGTATGTTTCTGCACAACCTCTGACCCAAGGACTCTGAAGACCGTGACCTTAGTTAATACCTCTCATATCCCACCATCTCCAATCCCCTCCCAAATTCCAAAGACCCTAGCCTCTGGTTTGTCCTCAGACACTAAACTCCCAATAGCTCTGCTGGGTTGGACATAGGGGGCAGGCACCCTGCTGCTCAGACCTGAGCCCTCCAGGCAGCAGAGCCTCACCCACCCCCTCTTACTCTATCTGTTCCCCAAAGATGAGAGGGGAGGGATTCCCCAGCCCAAGGACATAGCTTCCCCCTCTCCCTCCTGCAGGCAGGAGTCTCAGGGTCCAGACCTCTCTCTGAGTCCCCACATCCCCAATTCCTGTCTTCAGGGAATTAAGCCCCAGTCCAGGACTAGATTGGGTGAGCATCATGCAGAGTGTGCCTTGCTAGCTCCTGCCTTGAGAGAACTTCCTGTTACTTTGAAGACGTCTAAGTCCTTTGACTGCTGCCCAGTGGGATGGGACCCAAACATCTCCCTGGGGGGGGGGGCAGGCAACACGGTCACCTGGGTTGGGGGGATCTGATAGTTTTGTAATATGGCATTATCTACAAAATATGAATTTATACTTTGACCGATTCTCAACTCTGGTTTTCTGTGGGATGTGCAGGGGAGGAGGGTGAAACATGATGAATAATGAACGGGGGACTGGGGCTTAAGGCAACCAGTAGACTAGAAGTCAAGATGGGTTACAGACAAAAAAAAGCCACAGACATGAAAAAAATAATTAAGTGAGGGGATAATGAGCAAAAATGCATAAACCAAAAACATAATGATGGGTAATGGAGGGAGAGGGGGAGGAGTCCAGGGCATGGTGGTTAACATAAAGGAAACAGTGCAACAGCAGTCTAATGGGTGGTGGACAGAAATAAACGGAACAGATATACAAATGGTAGGAATTAAGTGCAAGGGGCTCAGGTGTAATGCATAGATGACAACTAAGAATAGGCCAAAGACAAAATTATGAATAATGTAATTGGAGCTCAGGACATGATGGGTAATAGATCTGGATGAATGAGCCAGAGGCAGAGATGAATAATGAAGAAATAGGGGCTGCAGGCATGCTGGGTAATAGACTCAAAACATGATGGTTAATCATATAAGGGCCAGAAGAATGACGGAAGTTAACAGCTACAATAAAAATGGGCTAAAAGTAGTAAAGGTCACGGGTCCTCAACCCCCGGGCCGCGGAACGGTAGCGGTCCGTGGCTAGGTAGGAACCGGGCTGCACAGCAGGGGGTGAGCGGCGGGCAAGCGAGCGAACCGGTCCTTGGTGCCAAAAAGGTTGGGGACCACTGGTAAAGGCAATAAACCTGAAATGAATGGGGCAGAGGCATGCTGGGTAATGGGACAGGAATGAATGGGCCAAAGATAGAAGCCGCAGCTACGCAGGTCTGGGGTGCAGGAAGCTGGGAACAGAAGGCATGATGGGTAAGGACTGGGGTGGATCTATGACAACGGTCGCGTTAAACAGGTAAACGGCATTGTGGGTAACAAAAAGCAGGAGAGGGTTCACGTAACCGGTTAGGATTCCCCGAAGGCACTGTGGGAAGGACCAACTTCCGGCTTTCGGTCCCCGACTCCACACTGGGGACTGCCCCTCTGCCGCGGTGCGTGGTGGGACGCCAGGCCTGACCTTGCTGCCTAGCAGCCCCTGCCGCGCAACCCACCTTTACCCGTGTCCCTCGACCCTGGCACGTTAGCCAATGAAAACACCAGACTGATTATGTCATCAGGGTCGGGCCCCTGTGCCTGGCGGAGCCAATCAGAATGCTGCAAGGACTAAAGTCGGCCAATTATTATGGCAATTTCACCGCGGGGCAAAGTCGAAAGAGGGGCGCCTTCTAAAGAGGGGCGGAGGCGAAGAGTCAGTGGGCGTTGCAAAGTGCTCAGCACAAACCAATGATAGGAGAGCACCGGAACCCGGGGCGTCACGAACCAATAGGCATGGGCTCGACGAGTCAATGGAAAGGGCGGGGAGATCTGCTTCGACCTGCTTCCAAATAGAAGCCAATAAAAAAGGACGTTCCGAAAAAGTGGCTGGGGCTCCCATCCCTGATTCCAATAGCAGGGCCAGGCCCTTAAGCTGGTGGGCGGAACCTAGGGCAAGCTGAACCAATAGGCTACGTGGGGCGGGGCGATAGTGGCGGCGGCGGCGGCAGTGGGTTCGGTTGCGCGTGGCACACGGGGTGGGAGCGGAGCCCAGGCCGGGAACAGGCGCTGCTGCCAGTGAGAACCGGGGCCCGGAGCCGGGCGGGGGTTGGCTGGGGACTGGGCCCGGAGCGCGCGGGCCTTGACCTCCGCCCTCTGACCTTTTCCCTTGCAGGCGACCATGGGGAACGTGTTGGCCGCTAGCTCGCCTCCCGCAGGGCCGCCGCCGCCTCCTGCGCCCGCCCTCGTGGGGCTGCCGCCGCCTCCGCCCTCTCCTCCGGGCTTCACGCTGCCGCCGCTCGGTGGCGGCCTGGGCGCTGGGGCTGGCTCGGGTCGGGGTTCAGAACGGACCTCCGGGACCGCGGCCGCCAGCGGCGCAGGAACCGCGGACGATGGGGCCTGTGGCTGCCTGCCCAACCCGGGCACGTTCGAGGAGTGCCACCGGAAGTGCAAGGGTGAGGGGCGAGGGACCTGGCGGGGATGGGGTGGCCGGTGTCGCGGGGGAGTACACTGAGGCAACCTTGGGAATTGGCACCAACCTTTGGAATTATTTAACAGAGCGTTAGGAGTTGACGTTGGGATCGAATGGTGGAACGTTGGACTTGGGGCTTAGAACGATGGGATCGAATGGTGGAACCTGGGGATGGAATGACATAAGAGTAGAGAAAAGCTTTAGGGACCTCAGGAGCCCCAGGGGTCAGCCTCGCCAGTCTCCTCATGTGATCGGCCAGGAAACTGAGGCCCAAGGTCACGGTGTCAGCAAGGTTCTAGCAAGGGTGGAACCCAAGGCTTCTGGATTCTGGCTTGGCATAATTGTGATAGCATAACTGTTGGAGATTTACTGAGTATTGTTCCAGGATTCAGAACACGTTAACTCGTTAAATTTTTGCAATGTTTCCATGTGGTGCATGTCGTCTTACAGGTGACAAGTTTGACATAGGTAAAGTAACTTACCTAAAGGCATGCAGTAGGAGGTGGTGGCACTGGGATTTGGACACAGACCAAGGCCCTGGTCTTGGCCCCATCTATTAGGCATACTGCCATTTTACGGGTCGGATACTTGGTGGGATACTCTGCTATAGTTCCTCGGGGAAGGGAGGGCCAGGACGAGATTGGGGGGTGGGGGTGGAGTGTGACAGCGTTCCTCTTCCTCAGAGCTGTTTCCTATTCAGATGGAAGGTGTCAAGCTCACAGTCAACAAAGGGTTAAGTAACCACTTCCAGGTGAGCCTTCCTGCCTCCAGAGGTCATCCCATCTATCCCCCTGCATCAGCACCTACGCCCCCCTCATGCTGCCCTAAAGGGGTGGGCTCTGGGATACTGGAAAAGACTCAGACCCAGTGCCAGGCTGACTTCTTAGTGGGGGTCGATGGTAGTGTTTAGGGACCCAGAATCCAGAGATAGCCCTCCTCCCCCCGCCCCAACATCCAGGAGTGAAGTGTGGGTATGTGGCCCCGCCCCCAGCACACTCTTCCTCTTAAATCTCTAATCTAGTTAGGCTATGTCTCCCAGTGTTTACTCCCTGTCCAGCTATAGATGCTTGTCTTATCCTCCTTGATAGGGGAGCCCAACAGACAAGTATCCCCAACCCCAGGCTGAAGGGGAGCTGTGATGGAGGTGGGTTCAGCTGGGTCTCTTGGGGGGTCGCCTGCAGCCTCATCCCCACAGCCCCCCTCCCCTTCTCCCAGGTGAACCACACAGTAGCCCTCAGCACAATCGGGGAGTCCAACTACCACTTCGGGGTCACGTATGTGGGGACAAAGCAGCTGAGTCCCACAGAGGTGAGCTTCCTCTTGTCATTTCATTCATTGTATCCCTCTCCTAACAAATATGTAGGCCAGCACCAGAAGGCTTTGTCAGGAGTGCAGAGCTGCTGAGGGGGTTGCAGGGGCAGGGGGCTCTGTCTCCCCAGGATGCATTGAAACATGGGTCACTCCTTCATGCTGAACCCCTTGCTCTCTGCCCAGGCCTGAGCTGGGTGAGGCTTTGAATGCTAAAGCAGGCGCCTGGACTTTCTCTAGGGGGCACTGGAGAGCCCTGGGAAGATGTGACTTGGGGAAATGGTCTGGTGAGGTTGATGCTTTAGAAGTGTTCCTCAGGCTGCCATGCAGAGAGAGACTAGGCTAGGGGAGTGGGGGCAAAACTGGAGGCCTGGAAGGAGGCTGGGGCAGGACACACATGGAGCTGCGAGACTGAATTAGTTAACTATTTCCATTCAGCAAATTCACTTGTTCAACAAGCCTCCGTTGCATCCCCATTCGGCGCCCAGCTCTGTGCTGGGGACATAGAAGTGACTGAAACAACTAGAGCGCTCACAGTCTAGTGCAGACAGGGAACAGGTCTGTTCCCAGAGAGGACCAGTCCAGGAGCTGGGCACGACTGAAATGAGGAGGCCTAAAGGCTATGGGAGCCCCGACGGGAGCCTAATGCAGCCTAGGTGGTCGGGGGGTGCTTCCTGGAAGGGGGGAGCCTCAATCGGAAGCTTTCTGATCCTAAGCACCTCACCCAACCCCTCGCTTGGGTACTCCCGTGACCCTAGGTCTCTGGTGGCTAACCTCTCACCTTGCCCTCTGCCTCACAGGCATTCCCCGTGTTGGTGGGTGACATGGACAACAGTGGCAGCCTCAACGCTCAGGTCATTCACCAGCTGGGCCCCGGCCTCAGGTCCAAGATGGCCATCCAGGTGAGTGGAAGTCAAGTCAGCTGGCAGCCCAGCCACCCTCAGCACCAGGCTGCCCTCACGCTGCCCTTCCTCCCCCTCAGACACAGCAGTCGAAGTTCGTGAACTGGCAGGTGGACGGGGAGTACCGGGGTTCCGACTTCACGGCAGCCATCACCTTGGGGAACCCCGATGTCCTGGTGGGTTCAGGTAAGAGGCGCAGGGCTTGGGGGGCAGTCACGCTCCAGTCCCAGCTTTGCCAGCAAGTCCATCCCCTTCTCTGGACCTGCTTTCTGCCGTCCGAGAAATGGGCACGGGCAGAAGGGGTTTTAAAACATCAGGCAGCACAGCATAGTGGGTGAGAAAGCTGGTTCAGACCCCAGCTCTGCCGCTGGCTTAATTGCAACTGTAGGCAGGTGCCAGCACCTCTGTGGGCATCGGTGTTCTCGCCTATCAAGTTGGCTGCCTCCCAGGGTCGTTGAGCAGGTCACGTAAGTTCGCGTGTGAAGTGCTTCAAAGGAAGCCAGGCATGTAATAATGGACTTCAAGGAAATGAGCTGCTCTTGTTCTTGTTCGTGGGGCTCTGGTGTTGGGGGACGCAGAGCAGATCCCAGGGCAGCAGGTTCCCCGGGCAGCTGTTGGGGAGATAGGTGGTCTCCTCCTGCGTCCTCAGTGAGGTAGGGACGCTGATGCAGAAAATTCCTGCTGGGGTAGGCAGGGGGCAGG